TCACATATACTGTTGAAATAAAATCTTTTTTTCTTTTTCTTTTTTTTTTGGTCAGTTGTGGGGCTTGAACTCTGGGCCTGAGCACTGTCCCTCAGTTCTTCAAGTCAAGGCTAGCATTCTACCACTTGAGTCACAGGACCACTTCTGCCTTTTTCTGTTTATGTGGTGTGAGGAACTGAACCCAGGGCCTCATGCATGCAAGGCAAGTACTGTACTACTGAGGCACCTTTCCAGCCAGAAATAAAATCTTACAACTAATAAACGAGGATTTCTTCATTCCTCATTGGGCTAAAACTTTGAAAATCTCTAATATTGAAAAAAAAAATCCAACAGTGGCAGGCATGGTGGCACAGGCCTATAGTTTTAGCTATGAGGGAGGTGGAGATGAGAGGTTCAAGGTTAGCCCAAGCAAAAATAAAGTTAATAAAACTCTATGTCAGAGAATTAGCTGAGCCAGACACCGGTGGCTCACGCCTGTAATCCTAGCTACTCTGAGGATCACGGTTCAAAGCCAGCCCAGGCAGGAAAGTCCATGAGACTCTTTTTTTTTTTTTTTGTTGGTCGTGGGGCTTGAACTCTGGGCCTGGGTGCTGTCTCTCAGCTCTGCAGCTCAAAGCGAGCGCTCTACCACTTGAGCTACAGTGCCACTTCCGGTTTTCTGGTGGTTTATTGGAGATAGGAGTCTCACGGTCTCTCCTGCCCGGGCTGGCTTTGAACCGAGATCCTCAGATCTCAGCCTCCTGAGTAGCTAGGATTACAGGCGTGAGCCACCAGCGCCCGGCTCCATGAGACTCTTATCTCAAATAAACCACTCAGAAAACCAGAAGTGGTACTGTAACTCAAATGGTAGAGTGCTTGTCTTTAGCTGAAGAACTGAGGGACAGCACTCAGGCCCAGGGTTCAAGCCCCATGACCACAGGGGGAAAAAAAAAGAATTAGCGGAATGTGGTGGCATTTATCTATAATGCCAGCTATTTGGGAGGCAGAGGTAGAAAGACTGTAGTCCGAGACTGGCCTGTGCAAAAACGAGGTCCCGCTTGAAAAATAATTAAATCAAAAATGAGTAGAGATTGCTTAAATGGCTGGTAGAGTACCTGCCTTGCTAACACAAGGCCCTTAATTCAAGCTCCAATACTGTTGGTTGGCTCATACCTGTAGTCCTAGCTATTTGGGAGACTGAGATTATTGAGATTGTGCTTTGAGGCCAGCCCAGGCAGAAAAAAGTCAACAAGGAGAAAGAAAGAGTAGATGAATACAGTCATAGTATTCAATGTGCTTAGGTACCTGAGAAGATTGGGAGAAATGGGGGAGAAAGAGGAGGAAGAGGTGATATCCATCAAGATGCATTAGACTCATAAACTGACATGTTGAATTGTACAGCATTTAAAGGTAATGATAACTAATAGGTCAGCAAGCCCCTTCTCAATTATGTGGTGGTATGAGTCTGTTACCCTAGTTACCAGGAAGTCTAACATAGGTGGATCATGTTCAGGTACACAGGAAGCTAAGACACTAGCTGAAAAACAATCAGCCAAACAATTAGGACTGGAGGTATGGCTCAGTGGTAATAGCACCCACTTAGGAGCAAAGGAAGGGAACATTGCCCAAAAGGAAATGTACTCATAGCTGGACACTGGTGGCTCAAGCCTGTAATCCTAGTTACTTAGAAGGTTGAGATCTGAGGATTGTGGTTCAAAGCCATCCCGGGCTGGAAAGTCCGTGAAACTCTTATCTCCAGTAAACCACCAGAAAACCCAGAAGTAGCACTGTAGCTCAAGTGGTAGAGCGCTAACCTTGAGCAGAATAGCTGAGGGACAATGCTCAGAGTTCAAGCCCCGTGACCGACAAAAAAAAGAAGGAAGGAAGGAAGGAAGGAAGGTACTCATTAGCTGACTTACGAAACAGTAACTTCTCTATACATTTCCTTAATAATAACAAAAAAAAAATTTTTTTTTGGCCGATCATGGGGCTTGAACTCTGGGCCTGGGTGCTGTCCCTCAGCTCTTCAGCTCAAGGCTAGCACTCTACCACTTAAGCCACAGCGCCACTTCCGGCATTTTCTGCTTATATGGTGCTGAGGAATCGAACCCAGGGCCTCATGCATGCAAGGCAAACACTCTACCACTGAGCCTTCCCAGCCCCAATTAAAAAAAAAAAATTAAAAGACTGATCCGCAAGAAAAAATAGCACTCACTTTGGAAGTTTGAGCCCTGAGTACCACAAAAAAAAAAGAAAGAAAGAGGGGGGTGGGGTGAGAAGGAAGGAAGGGAAGAGAAGAGAAGGAAGGAGATTTTTCTAGTGCTCAGGAAACTGCAAACGTTTTAGGAATTATGTTACCATTCCAACTCTGACAAAAACAACTGAGATATAGGTTATAAGGAGTAATGGTTTATTTTGGCTCATAGGTTCAGAGCCTTGTGTCCACAATTGACAGGCTCTAGCTCTCTTGACTTAGGCCTTGTAACCTGTCAATTCATCATGGCAATGTGTAGAGAACAGTTGCTCATTTCATGGTGGCCAGGAAACAGAGAGGGGGCAGAGTCCCAGGATCCTTTTCAAGGATATGCCCCCAGTGACCTGATTTTCATGTGCTAGGCTTTGCCTCCTAAAATTTCAACACCTTCCAATAGTGCCACATGTTGGCAACCAAGCTTTCAATATATAAGCAAAGGCTTATAACCAAACTCATAACAAGAACTCTGAATTACAAACCAGGGACAAAGACTAAAAATGTATTTTTTACACTATGTTCTGTCTAAAAAGATTCTCCAAAATGGAATTTTTTTTTTTTTTGGTCAGTGGTAGGCCTTGAACTCTGGGCCTGAGTACTGTCCCTCAGGCCTTCAGTGCAAGGCTAGAGCTCTACCACTTGAGCTACAGCACCATTTCCAGTTTCCTGGTGGTTTATTGGAGATAAGAGTTTCCTCACGCCTGTAATCCTAGCTACTCAGGAGGCTGAGATCTGAGGATTGCGGTTCAAAGCCAGCCCGGGCAGGAGAGACCGTGAGACTCCTATCTCCAATAAACCACCAGAAAACCGGAAGTGGCGCTGTAGCTCAAGTGGTAGAGCGCTCGCCTTGAGCTGAAGAGCTGAGGGACAACGCCCAGGCCCAGAGTTCAAGCCCCACGACCGACAAAAAAAAAAAAAAAAAAGAGTTTCACGGACTTTCCTGCCCGGGCTGGCTTTGAACCGTGATCCTCAGATCTCAGCCTCCTGAGTAGCTAGGATTACAGGTGTGAGGCACCAGCGCCTGGCCAGTTTTATAATTTTTATCATACAGATTTCAAATTTTGTTGTTTTGAGGCAGCATCATGATATATAGCTCCAGTGACCTAGAACTCACTCCCATTTTATATCCCCTGCATGGTCTGGGTTTTCTTTCTTTCTTTTTTTTTTGCTGGTCCTGAGGCTTGAACTCAGACTCTGGATGCTGTCCCTGAGCTGCTTTTGTTCCAGGCTAACACTCTACCACTTGAGCCACAGCACCACTTCTGGCTTTTTCTGTTTATGTGATGCTGTGGAATTGAACCTAGGGCCTCATGCATGTGAGGCAAGCACTCTATCACTAAGCCACCTTCCCAGCTCGATTTGGGTTTTCTTGAAGCTATCCTTATAACCTAATTTTATCACAGACTGATCCTGAAACTAGGATTAAATGTTGAGAATTCTATGTTTTGAGCTCTGTTACATCTATTTATAATATCATTGCTCTCCCTCCATTTTAGGTAACTCCTAAGATTTTCATTTTTTTTCCTGCCTCTACTTCATTCAAATATTCTAAAATATGTTTTACTTTTACTTAAAAACAACCACTGAATGCCAATGGCACATACCTGTAATCTTAGCTATTCAGAAGGCTAAGACCCACAGCATCACAGTTCAAAGCCAGTCTAGACAGAAGTTTCTGGGATACTCCATTTCCAAGATAACCAGCAAAGAGCCAGGCTGGAGGCAAGGCTCAAGTGGTAGAGTACCATGAATAAGCTAAGTTAACAAGATGCCAAGTTCAAACTCTTTTACTGACTCCCCTCAGGAAAAGAAAGTCTTTTTAATAAAAATAAAATAAATTCCTATTTCTCTAGAACTAGTTTTGTTTGCTTTTAAGTATAAAGAGGGATTATATAAATCCTTAAATACAGTATTGTAATAAGTTGGCAAAGGAGGCTAGGAAGTAGTCTTAGTGGTAGAATGCTTGACTAGCATGCATGTAGCCCTGGGTTCGATTCCTCAGTATCATATAAACAGAAAAGGCCAGAGGTGGTACTGTGGCTCAAGTGATAGAGTACTAGCCTTGAGGACAGAGAGGCTCAAGGACAGAGCCCAGGTCCTGAGTTCAAAAAAAAAAAAAAGAAAAGAAAAAGAGCTATACTAAAATACGAATTCTGGGATTTCCCTTTGTTGCCAAAAGTGAGGGAAGCTAGTTATAGGAGTGTATATCAAGGACTTGTTTTTCAATGTCAAAAGAAAATTAATCTTAACTAGAATTGCTTGCTGAAAGATTTGTCATTGTCTCCTTATAATACCAGGGTATGCCGACCTAAACACAAGTACCAAATGGTAGCTAGTTATGGTATTCCTGAACTCTAAGCTTATTAGCCAGAATACGTATTTATTTCTTTTTCTTTTTTTCTTTTTTCTTTTTTTTTGTTAAAAAAAAGAGGAGGCACCTGGGCACCAGTGGCTCACACCTGTCATCCTAGCTATTCAGGTGGCTGAGATCTGAGGATTACTGTTCAAAGCTAGCCCTGGCTGGGGAAGTCCATGAGACTCTTATCTCCAATTACCCACTAGAAAACAGGAAGTGGCACTACAGCTCAAGTTTTAGAGCACTTGCCTTGAGCAGAAGAGCTCAGGGACAGCGCCCAGGCCCAGTTCAAGCCTCGTGATGGACATTAAAAAATAAAAATAAAAAAGCGGGGGAGGGGAGAGAAAAAAAAGGAAAGAAACTCTGTAACTGTAATTAAAATGAAAAGCAAAAAGACCTGTTTTTCCCTTGTAGGTGTGGCATTTCCAGAAGAAACAAACAGATCTTCTCCTCGCCTTTTATAAACATAGAATTACAAAATTGGAAGCAGCCATGCAGGAGGCAAGGCAAACAATGGCCAACCAGAACAAGTAAGTGCCAAGCCAAGTCAAATCCTCAGTTAGGTGTTTTGTTTTGTTTTCAGAGAGGCTATAGTCCTTATTCCATTATGATTGCAAAGACTGAAAATTATGGCTGGGAAGATGGCTCAATGGTAGAGCGCTTACCTTGCATGGATGAGGCCCTGGGTTCGATTCCTCAGCACCACATAAGCAAAAAAGAAAAAAGCCGGAAGTGGCGCTGTGGCTCAAGTGGTAGAGCGCTAGCCTTGAGCTGAAGACCTGAGGGACAGCGCCCAGGCCTAGAGTTTAAGCCCCACGACTCAACCCAAAAAAAGAAAAGACTGAAAATTATCCCCTGTGTGTTTATGTTTGTCTTAGGAAAATCAAGTGCATAATTTTTTTTTGGGTCCTTTCAGTCTCCATTTTATTTTTTCTCCTCTCCAGTGGCACTCTGCTACTTCCTTCCTTCAAAATTGCTGTTTAGGCTGGGCATGGCATTTACATGCCTTTAATCCCAGCTACTTGGAAAGTAAAGATAAGATGATTATAGTCTGTTTGCCCTAAACTGGGTGCTGGTAGCTCACAGCTATAATCCTAGGTACTCAGGAGGCTGAGATTAGGAGGATCACGGTTCAAAGCCGGCCCAGGCAGGAAAGTCCATGAGACTCTTATCTCCGATAAAACCACTAGAAAACCTGAAGTGATGTTGTGGCTCAAGTAGTAGAGAGATAAACTTGAGCTGAAGAACTGAGGGACAGCACCCAGACCCAGAGTTCAAGCCCCATGACCAACTAAAAAAAAAGTATAAGACCCTATCTGAATAAATAAAACAAAAGCAAAAAGGGCTGGGGGCTTGGCTCAGATGGCAGATAATTTTTTAAATCCTTGTTCAGAATCTTAATACTCCTCAAAAACCTATTTCTTTAGAATTTTTTTTTTAGATACTGCTTATTCACATTGATAAATATGAAACATAACATTTAAAATGTTAGATCTGGAAAGGAATATTTTGGGAATATTAAGCTAAAACATGAAACTCTTTTTAAAAAATGGAATTCTTGATACAAATATTTTAGGCACCAGCTGTCCAGATGAATGTCTGAAGGGCAATAGAATTCTATGTAAACTCCCCTGAAGTCCTACCAAGTGACTGCTTATTTAGTTCATTTCATTGCACCATCAAAACATTTCTGTTTTGTCTTTGAATCATGAGATCCCTAATGCAAATATCTTGTATATCTGCATTGACTAGATGTTGATAATCATAATAACAATATTAATCATAATAATTCTTATCAACTGACCTGGTTCTGATTGTTCCATCTTTTGTTTAGAGAGCTGTCAATCTTAAAAAAGGAGAATGGAGAACTAAAGAAATTTCTAGCCATTCTAAAGGTGAATCAAATAGATTTTCTTTGCTATTATTTTTGCTAATTTTTCCATCTGTCTAGCTGTCTGTATAAATTGTGCTTCCTAACATTTTTCATATCATGACTTTTCATATCATGGTGCATATAGAAATTAGCATTGTTCCTCATTTATAATATAGCAAAGGGATTAGGCCACAGAAGATCTGGGAGGGCTGAAAGGATCAACATTTAGCACACTTGAAATCCATTTTCAAATGTCAGTGGGTTAGGTCATAAGATACCCATTAGGGAGCTCTTATACAAAAGACATATGTTGCAACTTAAAATTTCTTTTCAGGAAGCACAAGACATCTCAGACTTCCTCCTCTCTTACATGTCCTATTTTCCAGAAAATGTCTTTCTTCCTAACAACATTCTGTGTATTTACATAATTTTCTTATTGACCTCATTTCTATAACTGCTCTCGCACATTGTACGCACATTGTAGTCATGCTGTGTTACTTTCAGTCCCTATAAAGTCTCCATATTTTCCCAGATATATTAGTCTACAGGATTATTAATGTACTTTGATGAATAGAAACTAAATTTTATTACCTCAAAGCTAATATTTTCTGAGGAAATACTGCTTTTGTTTTTTGTCCTCCTGGGAATCTTAAACATAAATAAAGGCATTGCATCTGAGTTACTGAACTAGTTAAGACTGAGATTCATTTAATAAAATGTTTGATCTGTAATTTCCTTCCCTTATACATCTTTACCTGCAGGAATCTCCAGTTCAGTACCAAGGAAGCAGGTCAGTTTTATCAGCTGCCATAAGCTGGTAAATTTTCCTATCCTGAACATTTATGTTTCATTTTTAAAAGTTAATTGACATATACTAATTGTACATATTTCAGAGTGTAGTTCAATGATTTGATACATGCGTACAGTATGGAATGATCAAATTCACATAATTAGCATTTTCTTCTCCTTACACACTTCTTATTTCCTTGTGCTGGGAAGCTTTTATTTTAGCCTGTTGTTTTTTTGAGTCCTGGCTGTCTAAGTTCCATGGAGAAAATGATTGAAGAATTTCTCTTACCTCTGTAAAAAAGTTACTCACTGAAAAGTGCTGAAATGAAGTCTTCATTGTTAACACTCAACCTTGACTCCCATCTTAAGAATTCCTACTCATTGGGGCTGGGAAGTTGGCTCAGTGGTAGAGTGCTTGCGTCGCATGCATGAAGCCCTGGGTTCGATTCCTCAGTACCATATAAGCAGAAAAAAAAGCTGGAAGTGGCACTGTGGCTCAAGTGGTAGGGTGCTAGCCTTGAGCTGAAGAGCTGAGGGATAGCACCCAGGCCCAGAGGTCAGTCCCCATGACCGACAAAAAAATAAATAAAAGAAAAAAAAAAAATTCTTACTCATCCTTTAAAATTCAAAACACTTCCTCTGCAAAGACTTCATTAGGCAAAGTTAGATGTTCTGGTTCTTCAATAAATATTCATTCAGGGGCTGGGAAGGTGGCTCAGTGGTAAAGTGCTTGCCTTGCATGCCTGAGGCCCTGGGTTCAATTCCTCAGCACCACATAAGCAAAAAGAATAAAAGCTGGAAGTGGCACTGTGGCTCAAGTGGTAGGGTGCAAGCCTTGAGCTGAAGAGCTGAGGGACAGCGCCCAGGCCCAGAGTTTTAAGCCCCACAACCACCACCACCACCAACAAAAAACAGTCCTTCTAATTGGTGATATCTTTGTCCTACCATTGAGTAGGATTAAAAAAAGATACAAGCCTTGCACTGGTGGCTCTATAATCCTAGCTACTTAAGAGGCTGAGATCTGAGGATTGCAGGAACCAGCTGGGGCAGGAACATCTGTGAGACTCTTACCTCCAATAAACTACCTAGAAAAAAGACCGAAGTTGTGTTGTGGCTCAGGTAGTGTAGCACTAGCCTTGATTACAAACAGGTTAAGGGACAGTGAGTTCAAGGGCCCTGAGTTCAAGCCCCAGGACCAGCAAAAAAGAAAAAAGGAAAGAAAACAGCATCCCCAAATTCACATAAGTTACCAATTAGTGTTCTTTCTTTCCTTTTTTTCTGTTGGTGGAGCTTGTACTCTGGGCCTGGGCGCTGTCTCTCAGCTCTTCAGCTCAAGGCAAGCACTCTACCAGTTGAGCCACAGCGCCACTTCTGGTTTTCTGGTGGTTTATTGGAGATAAGAGTCTCACAGGGGCTGGGAAGGTGGCTCAGTGGTAGAGCACTTGCCTTGCATGCATGAGGCCCTGGGTTCGATTCCTCGGCACCACATATGCAAAAAGAAAAAAGCCGGAAGTGGCGCTGTGGCTCAAGTGGTAGAGTGCTAGCCTTGACTTGAAGAGCTGAGGGACGATGCCCAGGCCCAGAGTTCAGGCCCCACGACCGGACCCTCCCCCCCCCCCCAAAAAAAAAAAAAGAGTCTCACAAACTTTCCTGCCTGGGGTTGTTTTGAACTGCAATCCTCAGCTCTCAGCCTCCTGAGTAGCTAGGATTACAGGCGTGAGCCATCAGTACCTGGCTCAATTAATGTTCTTTCATACTTAGGTATTTATGATACACTCACTATAATACCTAAATGTTGTGATATCTTTGTATTACTGGGGATGAAGCCTAGGGCCTCACTACACAAGCACTCTACGCATCAGCTATATAGCTAGACTCACTAGCCTGTGAGCCAATCAGAGATGATCCTTACGATAGTTAATTGTCTCAGGATTTAGGACATATAGACACTAAATAAGTACCTGTTGTATTGATGAATTAAGAGAATGGAGGAACGTGTGAATGTATGGACAGATAGATGTAAGGTAGAGAGTAATTGGTAAGGCACTGTGAGAAGAAAGGAAAGACCTCTATTATGAGCAATAGAGAAGTGAAGGTTTCACTTAGGGAACTGGAAATGAAAGGTCTATATTTTAGGGTGAATACCTTTAATACATAACAGTAAGCAATCTGTGCTGATAAAGCAAGCTACTATTCCCCCTTCTCTTCCTCCTCCCTCCTCCTCCTCTTCTTCCTCCTCCTCCTCCTCCTCCTCCATCTTCTCTATCAGTTGTGGAGCTTGAACTCAGGGCCTAAGTACTTTCCCTGAGCTCTTTTCCTTGTGTTGTACCACTTTGAGCCATAGTTCCACTTCCGGTTTTTGAGTGGTTTATTGGAGATAAGAGTCTAATAAGGACTTTTTTGCCAGGGCTGGCTTTAAACCATGATCCTCAGATCTCAGCCTTCTCAGTAGCTAGGATTATAGGCATGAGCCACTGATGCTTGGTATTAAACTACTAAACTTTTCCTTAATAAAATTAGAACTGCTTGCTTATTTTTTTTTCCAGATTGACCACACCCCGACTAATGGGCATTACTTCCCCATCACAATCAGGTAGAGAATATTTATTTTGCCCATATATCTATGTGAGAGAAATAAATATCCTTTTCACTAATAGAAGATGGTTTTCTCTCAGACTATAATGTGATTTTCCTAATCTTACATATGATGTGATTAATATCATAGAACCAGATAACCACTACCAGCAGTTGGTGAGGCAAGCAGAGTGTGCCATTATTGGGAGCCTTTCATCCTATACTTTATTCTCTTTTAGTTACTCCACGACCCAGTTCCCAGCATAGCAGCCAAGTAGTCAGGTAAGTAGAAAGCCTATATAGCAGCATTAAAATTGTTTGCAACTGTGAAAGAAAGAAATGCCTGGATATGGCTCAGTTTGAGACTGAGAATACTTCAAGTATATGTCAAAGATTTAGCACCCATTTTCTTATCTCACCTTATATAGTCGGCCCTCTTCGGTGGAGTCCATTCCTTACAGAGCAACTGTCTTTGGTAGTGCGGGACAAGTAAGTAATATTCAACTTAACTTTCTAAGTTAAGGTTTCTAGTGCTTAATGAAAAGTTATTTATTTATTTTTGGATCCAGTCATGGGCCTGAACTCTGGGCCTGAGCGCTGTCCCTCAGCTCTTCAGCTCAAGGCTAGTGCTCTACCACTTGAGCCACAGCACCACTTCCGACTTTTTTCCTTTTTGCTTATGTGGTGCTGAGGAATCGAACCCAGGGCCTCATGCATGCAAGGCAAGCGCTCTACCACTGAGCCAACTTCCCAGCCCCAATGAAAAGTTATTTTAAGTCAGCAAACTGAAATTTATATTGGGTTTGGCCCATGATGTTTGTTTGAAGCCATGTAGACGCTATTTTTTTGGTTTGTTTGTTATGGGACTTGAATTTAGGGCCTCTATGCTGTCCCTGAGCTCTTTTGCACAAGGCTAGTGTTCTACCACTTTGACCGCAGCTAGCTCCACTTCTGATTTTGTAGTGGTTAATTGGAGATAAGAGTGTCACAGCCAGGTGCTGGTGGATCACGCCTCTAATCCTAGCTACTCGGGAGGCTGAGATCTGAGGATCATGGTTCAGAGCCAGCCCCGGCAGGAAAGTCCATGAGACTCTTATCTCCAATTAACCCCCAGAAAACCGGAGATGGTGCTGTGGCTCAAGCGGTAGAGCGCTAGCTTTGAGCTGAAGAGCTCAGAGACAGCACCCAGGCCCATGACTGACAGAAAAAAAAAAAAAAAAGTGTGTCACAGATTTTCCTGCCTGGGCTCCTGAGTAGCTAGGATTACAGATGTGAGCCACCAGCGCCTGGCAGCAGGCTCTAATTTCTTTGGCAATGGAGACCTGACACAAAAATCAGTTGGCATGTAGTTGGTCCAGGAATAAATACTGGAAGTACTCAGAGTTGAAGTAATAGTATCCATTATGTTCATTTGGGAAGTAGCAAAACCTGGGTCATTGGTAAATTAGTATACTCACACTGAGAGAATGATATATGCTTGCATATATAGATATAGAAAGATATTAGGGAATAGGAAATCTAAAGAACCAGGATATATTCACTAATTCTTACTATTTGTCCATCAGGGAGGCAGAGGCCTGCAGGAAAGGAGCACTCCCAGAAACTCATATATTGGTGAGAGGTGGGGAATAGGTGTCTGAAGTCAGCATATTCTGTGCAGAGACCAGCATACTTCTGGCTTTCTATGTATAATATAATGACACTGCGTTTTTTTTCCACATAGGGATTCCAGAAAACAACACATGTATTACAAGGTTTCAAGTTCTCAAAGGGAATGTTAGCAAGCTGAGTAATAGCATCTAAGAAAACTAATTGACTTCAGTTTTTAAAATTGCCACAAGATGGCAGTACAAGTAAACATAAAAGTAAAGATGTCAATTGTTAACTGAAGGTGTCTTCACTGTGTATTAAAAGTAAAAACATTCCAGTGAAGGCTTGCACCTGTGGCTCACACCTGTAACCCTGGCAAGGCTGAGATCCTAGGATCTTGGTTCAAAGCCAGACCAGCAGTTGAATAAAAAAAGATTATTATTATTATAAGTGCTGGGAAGCCAAGTGCCGGTGGCTCATGCCTATAATCCTAGCTACTTGGGAGGCTGAGATCTGAGGATAATGGTTCAAAGCCAGCCTGGGCAGGAAAGTCCATGAGACTCTTACCTCCAATAAGCCACTAGAAAACCGGAAGTAGCACTGTAGCTCAAATGGTAGAGTACTCGCCTTGAGCTAAAGAGCACAGGGACAGCGCCCAAGCCCAGAGTTCAAGCCACATGACTACAAAAATAAATAAATAAATAAAAATGCTGGAAAGTGGAGGTGTGGCTCAAGTGGAAGAGTGCAGTCCTTGAGCAAAAAAGCTAAGGGAGAGCAAGAGGCCTTGAGTTGAAGCTTTAGTACAAGTGTGTGGTTGTACACACACAGACAGATATACACGCGCACGTGCATGTGTATGCACACACGTCAGAGATGTACTTTGGTTCCACACTAAATTTATTTATATCTCCTTAGAACAGTTGTTACTAGTTTCAAGGACATTAGCCAATCCCTGGAGGATATCTATAGAAGAGTTTGTTTTTTTTAATAAGCAAGGGGCACCTTTGGAATTTCCAAATCCTTTTTATTTAAAAAATTCACCAAGCCGGGCGCCGGTAGCTCACGCCTGTAATCCTAGCTACTCAGGAGGCTGAGATCTGAGGATCCCAATTCAAAGCCAGCCCGGGCAGGAAAGTCCCTGAGACTCTTATTTCCAATAAACCACTAGAAAACCAGAAGTGGCGCTGTGGCTCAAGCGGTAGAGCGCTTGCCTTGAGCTGAAGAGCGCAGGGACAACGCCCAAGCCCCAGAGTTCAAGCCCCATGACCGACAAAAAATAAATAAAAATAATTCACCAAGAGTGTCCTAATTCTTCCAAATTTTTTTCTTTGAAAAATATAGATATTCTAATTCATTTTTGGAGGTATTATTCCTCCATTAGTAACCGTCTTTTTTCTTTGTCTCTTATTTGGTCATTTCAAAGAAACCACCTTTGTTTTTCTCTATTATTTTTCTGTTCTCTATTTCATCTACTTGTGGTTTAATATTATTTCCTTCCTTCTGATTATTTTGCATTGGTTTGTTCTTTTTTTCCTAGATTTTGAAAGTAGAAGGTTAGAATGTTGATTTAAGATGTTTGGGGGGGCTGGGAAGGTGGCTCAGTGGTAGAGCGCTTGCCTTGCATGCATGAGGCCCTGGGTTCGATTCCTCAGCACCACATAAGCAGAAAGAAAAAAGCCGGAAGTGGCGCTGTGGCTCAAGTGGTAGAGTGCTAGCCTTGAGCTGAAGAGCTGAGGGACAGCACCCAGGCCCAAAGTTCAGGCCCACGACCGGACCCAAAAAAAAAAGATGTTTGGGGAAGTGGCGCTGTAGCTCAAGTGGTAGAGTGCTCGCCTTGAGCTGAAGAGCTGAGGGACAGCGCCCAGGCCCAGAGTTCAAGCCCCACGACTGACAAAAAAAAAAAAAAGATGTTTGGGGGGCTGGGAATGTGTCTTAGTGGTAGAGTACTTGCCTAGTATACATGGGTTCGATTCCTCAGTACCACATAAACAGAAAAGGCCGGAAGTAGTTCTGTGGCTCAAATGGTAGAGGGCTTTTCCTTGAGCACAGTGAGGATCAGGAACAGTGCCCAAATCCTGAGTTCAAGCCCCAGGACGGGAAAAAAAAATGTGGGGGGCTGCAGGGGGTGGAGAGTGTACTGGGATTCCAACTCAAGACCTCATACTCACTAGTAAGGTGTTCTGTGTTCTATCATTTGAGCCATGTTTGCAGTCCTTTTTGCTTTCGATTTTTGTTTTTTGCTTCAAGGCAGTAATGGATCACAAAAGGGAGAAGAATAAAGCACCTTTATAAGACACTGCTAGGTGATTTGTGTGCCTTTTCATTTAACACACACAAAATCAAAAATTTTGATCTCCATTTCCTTTGTCCTGGTTTCAGTATACCTCTTCTCCAGTTCCTGAATTATCTGACTGGTTTGTTTAAATGTTTTCCAGAAACCCCTTCACCAGCTTCAACTCAGAGCCTGTCTTACAGGTAAGTGACATTGTGCTTCTTTCCTCTGGGGAAGGAAGAACACTGGCATTCTGCCAGCAGCCTTGGAGTTAACTTCTCTACAGGCATATACCACTGAAGTTTATAACCTGCTTTATAAACAAAAGAGAAGGTTGAGTGGTACTGTGTTTAATATGCATGCAAATTCTTTTTATTTTCAGTTGTAAGCAGGGGTGCTGATATTTTTTTCCTTTCTAGGCTAAATGTATAGGCCTTTTTTTTTTTTTTTTTTGGTTGGTCATGGGGCTTGAACCCTGGGTCTGGGTGCTGTCCCTTAGCTTTTCAGCTCAAGGATAGTGCTCTACCACTTGAGCCACAGCACCACTTCCGGTGTTCTGAGTGGTTTATTGGAGATAAGAGTCTCACTGACTTTTCTACCCAGGCTGGCTTTGAACCTCGATCCTCAGATCTCAGCCTCCTGAATAGCTAGGATTACAGGCATGAGCCACCAGCACCTGGCTTAGGCCTTTTCTTTTTTTTACCTTTATCTTCCTTTTCTCTGCTGATGCTTATTTTATTTCCCTCCTTAGACCTTCATCTGCCTCCTTTGGACAGGGGATTTCTTCTGTCAGAACATTCTTAAATGGGAATTCTGACCACCCAAGAGTCCTCACCCCCAACAGTTCTAGTAAGTGAAACATTATTTCCAAAGTTGTGTTTTCAATCATTGGCACCAATGCTAAAATGAAGCTTTTTTTCTAAGTTATAAGTTCAGATTTACCTCTGCCTACCAAGGGCATTGTCACTAGTTTAGCCCCTTAATATATTTGAGGAGCCATCCCATTCCTTTACAGTGAAGGAAAGCCTGGATTTTGTTGATTACTCCTCACCCAGTTGCCAGTTGCCTTGTAGGATTAAGTTGTTTTCGTCTTTTTTTTTTTTGCTGCTAGATATCAAACTCAAGGCCTTGTACATAATAGGCAAGCACCTATCACTGATAGACATCCTCAGCCTTTCTTTTTTAAGATAGAAATTCACGTGGCTTAAGTTGGCATATAAGTCTATGAAGATGGACTTCCATCTGCCTGCATCAGCCTCCTTAGTGCTAGACTTAGAGTCATGTGCCACCATGCCTAGTCTTTTAGGTTATTTTGTTTCAAATTCCATATTGAATATTTTGGAGGCTCAGTTCTGAGAATTTAAAGCCAGTATCCATTCTACTCCCCATCCCCCATCTTTTTTTTTTTTGGTCGGTCATGGGGTTTGAACGCTAGGCTTGGGCACTGTCCCTGTACTCTTCAGCTCAAGGCAAGTACTCTACCATTAGAACCACAGTGCCACTTCTGGTTTTCTAGTAGTTTATTGGAGATAAGTGTTTCACGGACTTTCCTTCCCGGGCTGGCTTTGAGCCGTGATCCTCAGATCTCAGCCTTCTGAGTAGGTAGGATTACAGGTGTGAGCCACTGATGCCCAGCTATTCCCCATCTTTTTTCAGTAAAAGTATCTCTGCTACCAGCCCTCTAGATAAGGCACTGCCATCTATAGTTCACCTACATCCTTATATTGTATGTCTTCCCACTCATAAACTCAAATTACAGACTATTCTGTCATTACCCTATTCTCACAGGAAAAGAATGGACTTTATAACCTATTCCTCAAGAGTACTTAGCTCATAGTGGGTTTTGTTTTTTTTGAATAGTGTTCCTTTAGAACTACCTAGATACTTGGGTCCACAAGTAACTGCTGAGGCACTGCCTAAGTTATCTTTCACCATTCCATCCTGTTCTTCAGGTCAGAGAGAGAGCAGAACCACACTTGAGAATCTTCCTGCTTTCCAGCTACCAGTCCTGCAGGTGAGGCCTGGCTTGCCAACTTATCTATGTATAAAAACATGCCGGCTTAGTTCTGCACACTAGGTGGTACTATACTAAGTGGTTGTAGAATGTAACCAGTGAGAAACAACATGGATTTCAAATATGGTAAACAGTTAATTCATTCTGTACTCCTATCAGATTAGTTTCCTAATGTAGAATGTTTTTAAAAGCAAGCTGCATAATAAAGAATTTCAACTTAAGGTACCTTAGCTAGTGATACATTGACATTCCCAGTAAAATGTTTCTTCTGGGTGGAGGTACAGTTTCAACTGGGAAACCATTTCTCCACAGATAGCTAAAATGAGGCTTTGGAAATATATGGGATCCTGATTCAGGCAACAAAAGGAAAAAGAGCATGGTAGAGGTTAGGTTTATAAGAAGTCTACTAAATTGGAAGTCCATGACTAGAGATCTGGTTCCGTGGTAGAGTATATTTCTTGCAAGTACAAAGCCTTGGATTCAAACCCCAGTACCATTAAATGAAAATGTCTAGTCTTTTTTTTTTGACAGTCGTGGGACTTAAACTCTGGGCTTGGGCGCTATCCCTCTGCTCTTCAGCTCAAGGCAAGTGCTCTACTGCTTGAGCCACAGAGCCACTTTTGGTTTTCTAGTGGTTTATTGGAGGTAAGAGTCTCAGGGACTTTACAGCCCTGGACTGGCTTTGAACCGTGATCCTCAGATCTCAGCCTCCTGAGTAGGATTACATATAAATTATGGCTTTTACAGATTTGAGATAGAATCTCACAGACTATAATACTCTGCGTCACTTCAAACTGGATCCTCTGATTGCAGCCCCTAGTAGCTAGGATTCTAGAGATAAGCCATTGTCACCTAGGTCACATTGCCTTTCCCCCACTGCAACTAGCTTTAGATCACAATCCTCCTATTTGTGCCTCCCAAGTAGCTGGGATTATAGGTATGCCACGCTTATTTGTTGATGGGGATCTTGCTGACTTTTTGCCTGGACTACTTCAAACTGCAATCCTCTTGATCTCTACCTCTCAAGTAGCTGGAATTATAGGTATGAGCTATTATACCTGGCTTTAACTTTCATGGCTTAGGTTTTGAGGATGTTTAGGTTAATTTTCAATGCAAGCTTCTGGTGAACTCAAAACAGCTCTTAAATATTAAGGTTGACATACTGTCTTGTTTGCATAATCCAAAATGCTCATTATTTTTGTCAGAAAAATATTAGAGCCTAAACCTTAAGAGACAACACTAAGGAAATAGCATCCCTCCGTAAAAATCCTTGCATAAGGAAGGATCAACCTTCAATTGAAAAATGACTTGAGGGGCTGGGAAGTTGGCTCAGTGGGAGAGTGCTTGCCTCGCATGCATGAGGCCCTGGGTTCGATTCCTCAGCACCACATAAGCAGAAAAAACAGGAAGTGGCGCTGTGGCTCAAGTGGTGAAGCACTAGCCTTGAGCTGAAGAGCTGAGGGACAGCACCCAGGCCCAGAGTTCAGCCTCCCCCACGACCGGATCCAAAAAAAAAAAAAAAGAAAAATGACTTGAGATCTATGACTATCTACAAATATAAATCCCCAAACTGCTTTGTTTGTTTTTTGGGGGGGGTCCAGTTGTGGGCCTGAACTCTGGGCCTGGGCACTGTTCCTCAGCTCTTCAATTCAAGGCTAGTGCTCTACCACTTGAGCCACAGTGCCACTTCCGGCTTTTTTTTTTTTTTTTGCTTATGTGGTGCTGAGGAATTGAACTCAGGGCCTCATGCATGCAAGACAAGCACTCTACCACTGAGCCACCTTCCTAGTCCCCCAAATTGTTTTTTTTAATAACTTATTGAGCATTTACTTATGTCAAACCCATTTCTTCTTTTTTTTTATTTGTCGGTCATGAGGCTTGAACTCAGGACCTGGGTGCTGTTTCTAAGCTCTTTTGCTCAAGACTAGTGATCTACCACTTTGAGCTACAGCTCTACTTCCCATTTTCTGGTGGTTAATTGGAGCTAAACATCTCACAGATGCCACTGCTTGGGCTGGTTTTGAACTATGATCCTCAGATCTCAGCCTCCTGAGGTAGCTAGAATTATGGGCATGAGCCATTTTTCTTTTTTTTTTTTTGTCAATCATGGGGCTTGAACTCTGGGCCTGGGCACTGTCCCTCAGCTCTTCAGTTCAAGGCTATAGCGTTCTACCACTTGAGCCACAGCACCACTTCCAGTTTTCGGGTAGTTAATTGGAGATAAGAGTATCATGGACTTTCCTACCTGGTCTGGCTTTGAACCGTGATCCTCAGATCTCAGCCTCCATAGTAGCTAGGATTACAGGCGTGAGCCACCAGCGCCCGGCTTCAAACCCATTTCTAAAGCACTTAGAATGCATTAACTCATTTAAAGACACATTAAGTGAAGCTGAAAGAGTATCCAATATAGGCAGATGACATGTGTCCATTGAATTCAGTTAATCATGAATACTGTACTTTCCTTGGAAATCCAAGTTTAGTATTTTGCTCAAGGTTAATTTTATTTCTCCCAGAAGACCTATAGGTAAGTAAGTCAGAAAGTGCTGTCCCTGTCTAGAGATGGCAGCATAGCTAGTTCCTCCTGAGAGCAGCAGGCTACTTTTTGCTCTTTATCATCCAAACTGGATCTTGATTTTTAAAAAGTACCAGGCAAGGCTGGGAGTATGGCTTAGTGGTAGAGCGCTTACCTAGCATGCATGAAGCCCTGGTTCGATTCCTTAGTACCACATAAACAGAAAAAGCTGTAAGTGGTGCTGTGGCTCCAGTGGTAGAGTGCTAGCCTTGAGCAAAAACTCAATGACAGTGTCCAGGCCCTGAGTTCAAGCCCTAGGACTGGCGCGCGCGCACACACACACACACACACACACACACGCACACACGCACACACACACACAAAATTGAGGCAAGCCAGGCACCAGTGGCTCACTCCTGTAATCGTAGCTCCTCAGGAGGCTGAGATCTGAGGATCACTGTTCAAAGGCCCGCGCAGGCAGGAAAGTCCCCGTGAGATGCTTATCTCCAATTAACCACTCAAAACCTGGTAGTGTGGGCTGGGAAGGTGGCTCAATGGTAGAGCGCTTGCTTTGCATGCATGAGGCCCTGGGTTCGATTCCTCAGCACCACATAAGCAAAAAGAAAAAAGCTGGAAGTGGCACACTGTGGATCAAGTGGTAGAGCGCTTGTCTTGAGCTGAAGAGCTGAGGGACAGCGCCCAGGCCTAGAGTTAAGGCCCCACGACCAGACACCCCGCCCCCCCCACAGAAAAAAAAAACAACCTGGTAGTGGCATTGTGACTCAAATGGTAGAGTGCTAGCCTTGAGCACTCTTGGGACTGTGCCCAAGCCTTGAGTTTAAGCCCCATGACTCTCTCTCTATATACATATGTATGTATGTATATGTGTATGTATGTGTATATATATATATATATATATACACACACACATATATATGGTAGTTGAAGAAATCTGGATAACTGTTATATCTGCTATTGAAAAATATTTTAACATTGGGAATTTTCTTTTTTCTTTCTTTCTTTTTTTTGGGGGGGGGGGTCCGGTCATGGCCTGAACTCTGGGCCTGGGCACTCGTTCCTGAACTGCTTTTGCTCAAGGCTAGCATTCTACCACTTGAGTCACAGCACCACTTCTGGATTTGTATATGTGGTACCGAGGAATCGAACCCAAGGCTTCATGCATTCTAGGCAAACACTCTACCTCTAAGCCACATTCCCAGCCCCAACAGTGGGGGTTTTCTTGAGTATCATGATAATCATAAAAACTATCATACTGTGCATGGTATGGATATAAATCCATACATTCTGAATTTTTCTGGAGTTTAGTAGAGAGGAAAATGAGAAGAAAATAGAAATAACAGATTGGCTGGGCACTGGTGGCTTATGCCTTTAATTCTAGTTATTCAGGAGGCTGAGATCTGAGGATTGTGGTTTGAAGCCAGCCTAGGCAGGAAATTCCATGAGACCTTTATCACCAATTAACTACCAAAAAGTTAAAAAGTGGAGCTGTGGCTCAAGTGGTAGAGCTAGTCTTTAAGCAAAAAAGCTCAACTATCCAGACCTCAGTTCAAGCCCCAGTACCAGTACCCCACCCCCCCAAAAAAAAATCCATCACAAAGTTTTAAAATTTACTAGAATGCCACCTCCACAAAAGTGCCTTCTTGTCTCTGGATATGCCAATCACTGTTTGATTTTCAAATATTTGACCTTGTCATTGTAAACCACTGAAATGTTATAGTTTCATAAGCAGCAACAAAACCCTTGTCACACAGGATGAATCGAATCTTTTTGGAAAAGATAGTCATAATGTTGAAAAAACACTGGAAAGTAATAGTGGGTAAATCCCAATTCACTTGATGTAATGACCCAAAGAGGTCATTAATAGTCTTTTTTATTGTTATAAACACTCAAATCTGCCTTTCTGTTCTCTGCTACAGACGCTGTACCAACAAAGGCAAGTGGGATTAGCCAGGGAGAAAGATGTATGGACCACTCCCCGATAGACCAGCTTTCAGGTGGGATGGGTACATGCTTCTTAGAGATGGCCAATAGCCATTAGGAAACATGGCTTTGGAAAAGATGCTCCTACTCTCTTTCATGGTTTTACTCTGTACTTATTCCCTTTTGATCTTTGCCTCCTCTATTCTATCTTACCACTCAGGAATTCGGTCAAGTCTTATGTAAGAATACAGGAAGATGTTTATCCCCCAAAATATGTAGCTCCTTTCATTTCTTACAATTTGAAACTAAAGTTGTAAAAATAATTCTCTGTATCATGCTTGGAGTTGGGAGATTGACTAACATTCTCATCAGCTATTCATTTCTGGATTTTCATTTTTTAGCTTTGAATTATTATCCCATTACCAATGTTAACAAGGAACACTCGTTTCCTTTTCCTAATTTAGTATACTCTATTTGTCTATTGTTTCCTCTATGCTTAGTTAGTATTAAATATGTTGATTTTCCTTTGTCAAAACAATAGTTGGAGAAACAGGTTCTCAGCATACTGAAGTGTATAAATAATAAAGATGTCCTTTATGAATGTTGCAACTTGATTGTTATTAGAAGCTCTACAACTATGGGATGTAAAAGTGGAGTTACTCCCAAGCTTGTTGGGTCTGTCATTGCTGAAATCTCAGAAATTTTAATCATATCAGCTACTGAAAACAATGTGATCACAGATATTAATCTATTGTCTTTTACTTTACTTCAATAAGCCCTGCCCTTCTGAATAATAATCAAAATATTTTAAAACCCAGAGTGTGACACAAGGTAGCCAAATACTCCTTTACTAAACCACACCTAGCCCCTAAATCAGAAATGTTAATGGAGTTGGATCCATCAATTTCTAGACAATAAGAGTGGCAAACTGAGCTGGGTGCCAGTAGCTCACACCTATAATCCTAGCTACTTAGGAGGCTGAGACCTGAGGATCACTGTTCAAAGCCAGCCAGGGCAGGAAAGTCTCTGGGACTCTTATCTCCAATAAACCACTCAGAAAACTGGAAGTGGTGCTGTCTCGCAAGTGGTAGAGAGCTAGCCTTGAGCTGAAGAGCTGAGGGACAGCACCCAGGCCCAGAGTTCAGGCCCCACAACTGACCAAATAAAAGAGTGGAGAAAAAAGAAACAACTTTAATTTTGGCCTTTATTATAGTCTAGCAATTGGGGGCTTCCACCCTTACTTTAGATGACTAAACCATTGGTCTATTTGCTTTATATATGATCCAACTGATGAAAACCAATCTAAAATATCAATAATCCAATTAAAGATTATAGTCCCTCTGTCTACAAGATAAAACCAATATAGAAGGAAGAGTTTTCTGGACACAAATTCAATCAGTAGCAAAATAGGAAAATTCAATCTCTGTCAAGCAGGACAGAGGTAATGTCAGGTTTGTAAAACCAAACCTAGAACTATCTCTACCACCTTTCCACCAGGAGAAAGCATTCCACTCTGTAACATAATTCTACTTTTAAAGTACACCTCTTTTAATTCCCACCTCCAATAAATATCCAACCTAAATATTCACCACCCCAGTTATTAACACAAACTATGTGGGAAGATTTACCCTGAGACAAAAGGGATTTCGTAGAGATAAAAAGGTAGAAGGCAAAGTGGTCCTAGAATTAGAAATGAGGACACTGTGCTACTGGTGTGATTCAGTGATGAAGCAGGCAAAACAATGTCATACTGGCAACAAGACCAGGATGTACTGAGACTCTTAGCTGCATGATGTACGGACTTGTGCTCAGAAAAGAAGGGGTACAAGGTAGCCTTATATTCTAATGAAAATGGTAAGACTGTGGATGCATTAGAGTCATCAGTTGAGTTAGAGTATTTTTCTCCTCCTTCTCGGGCCTTCTGGAGATGTGTGAACGTCTGGCCCCTGTTACACTAATTGAAAAGAATTGCAAATAGGAGGAGAGCTAAAGCTATTTACTGGCCTGTCATTTGCACAGATCCTCAGCCCACTCTACCTGGAGGCTAGAGACTAGATTTCTGCTGATCCAATACATTATTTTGTGTCCTATGATCTTTCCCAGGCCATCCTCTCAACCTAGCCATGCCCCTATAGCCCACCCTGAACACTAAGTTTTTTAGTTCTTTGTTACAAGGCAATTATAAAAATGTGGTTTCTTTGTTTAAGCAGTTACTAAATTGGTTCATCTTTTAGTAACAGATTCCTTTTTCCCTAGCCGCCCCCACCTCAGTCCTGTATAATCACATCATCATCATCATCATCACCATCTTCTTCCTCCTCCTCTTCTTCCTCATCCTCTTCTGGCAGTTCCTCCTCTTCTTCCTCTTCTTCTTCATCTAGACAAACTACCACCTCAGCTGGCTCAGGTAACCGAGAATCAAACCAGTCCAGTACTTGCTGAGTGCTAAGCCTAGATGCCTGGCTTAATTTAATAATGTCAGCTTCCTGGAGCTGTTGGTGAGCTTCCCAGTACTTCTCCAAGGGTCGTATATCAGGGGGGGGTGGAGGGGTTGGCAGAGGTGGTGTTTCAGCCCATTCTTTCAAGGAGCGGGTTGAAGGTGGTGTAGGAATCATTGGGTCTTGGAAACTAGGGGCGCCAGGTACTACATTATCCCGAAACCATTTTAATTGTCCGTGCTTTAAGGCATAGCGTGTATCACCAAACCACTGAATGATTTCAGGTCGAGGTAAACCAGTGATTTGTTCCAATTTATGGTAATCTTCCCGCCGTGCCCATTGGCACTGTAGAAAGAAGGACTTGAGGATAGCCAGCTGTTCTTTGGTTTTGCGCTTAGTCTTTCGCTGGCGTTGCATATCTGGGGAAAGGTATTCTGTGATGCCACCCCTACCTGCAGCTGAATTAGGCCTTAGCCCATGGGACCAGGCTGGCTCCAGATGTGAGGGTTGTCCCTGTTCACTGAGTGAGAGTGACTGCGAGATACAGCCCAGTGGCTGGAGGGACTTAGAGGTGGCAGTAGCTCCATTAGCCAGTACCTGGAAAGAGGAAGAAGAGGTAGAGGAAGAAGGAGTCACACTAGATGTTGACTCCTCCTTACAACTACTAGCAAGTATTGAGATTGGTTTGGGCTTAATTTGAGCATGTGGCTGGTGGACAGTTGTGGAGTTGTTCCAGGAAGCAGAACCTATGCCAGCTGACTGCTCAGGAGCCCTACATGCCTGCTCCTTGGAGAGGCCACAGCTCTGGAGATCCTGCAAAATATCTGATTGGTGGAGGAATGCTCCACTGCCAGGTGTCATCAGGGGCTCCTTTGCTTTCTGATGACTCAATGGCAGAGGTAGGATCTGAGAGGACTCTTCAGGCTCAACCTTCAATCCCTTCATCTGGGTAGGCTCACTAAGCGTCAGAGGACCTATTCCAAGACCAAGTTGTTCAGTTGGCATTGGAGATGCCTCCTCTGGGGGTCGCCCTGCATGATGAGTAAAAGCGAGAAGGGATTTGAAATGGAGTTGGTCCCTATGGTAGACCACTCGGGCTCGTGTCTCTTCTATTTCTTCAGATGACCAGCTAATGCCACATCGGAGGCGCTGGGCCATGAACCAAGTCTTGACTTTCTCCATCTGCAGCCCATAACGTAGACAGAGAAGGGCAATGTCTGCTAGGCTGGGATAGGGAAAGTAGCTGAAGGTCTGAAGCAGGTGTTCATTGCTGTCCAGCTCACTGGTCTGAGCTGCTTGGGTCCACACAAGCTGGATCTCCTCAGAGATTGGAGGTAGGCAGATGAGCCCTGCTGTTGGGCTAAGTCTGCTGGCCTCTTTATTAGGAGGCATGCTGTATTCTGATTTGTACCCTTCACAGATAGCTGTAATAAGAAGAGAAACAGCTCAATCATTGAGGCTCCACTTGGCGTATCACTCAATTTCTCTCTCTCTCTCTCTCTCTCATGGGATTTGAACTCAAGGCCTCACAGTTGCTATGCAGGCACCTTACCATTTGAGCCATTCCCAGCCCTATATTACTCAATTTGTACAAAACTTATGTTGGACATTGAACTACTATCTTTATATCATGTTGTATTGTTTTAAAGTGCCTCAACAATTTCTCATCAGAGGCTGTTAGAATTCCTGGGTTACTTTATGAAAAGATTAAAGCCCATAGAAGCCAAGATAAAAATGATCTCAAGTTACATGAATAGTGCATGTTTCACTAAGACAAAACTGGTTTTTTGAAGGTAAGAAGAAAAGGTTATCTTTATACACAGTCTTCAGCTTTCCAATTCAAACTTACTTCTGGAGCTGAGCCCAACTCTCACTTTCAAAGTTCATGGAACAGGAGTCACTAAATGAAGACTCAACTACAAAAACAAAAGTAACAGTAATCTATTGCTTTTTGGCTCCTAACAATTTACTATTACCTCTAGAATGTGGAGACAGAAAAGTAACCAACAACTCACTACCTAGAAAGTCAGACAGCACTGTTCTCTGCCCAGCCCTTTTTCACTCTTTCCCTTTTTGGTGGTACAGTTGGGAGGAGGGGAATGATACTACCTTCAAGTCTAAACTCAAATCAGACAGCTTATTCATTTTTCATCTCTTAGGAGAAGAGATAAGAGGGTAGAGATAGGGGACAAACGGGGCTCACTCCCCATGGGTTTAGGCCTGTGAAGAGGGGAATGTTTCTTCCCCCTTAGCTCTGAACAAAGGTTATCCCCTCCCCCAAACCTTTGGAAAGCTCATCCTCCCCTACTTTCACTTTCACAACATATATATATATATATATATATATATATATATATATATATATATATACACACACACACACACACACACCACTAAGCCCCTTTCACACTGGGCAAGAGACTTCTTGCTCTTATCAGTCTAGCCCAGCTTTCTCCTCAAAACCAGGTGGACAGATTCATTATGAATTACAACCCACTCCTGCAAGCTGTCCAGCAGCAGCATGGCTCCCAGGGTGATGGGTGTGGGGATTGCAGAGATAGCCCCAGTCTTCATTCCTGAAATACTTGCTCAGATTATTTCCCAGAATATTCTGTTAATTTTAATTCAGTTCTCTATGAAGGCTTTAGAGATCCTTTAAAACACAAGTCACTTTGTATGCTTTGGGAAATTGCATTGGTATTTATAAATATTACCTCTGACAGGATTCCTATGCAAATGCTATAGATGAACAGAGAAAATAAATTATCAAGTCCATGAAGTCAGTGTCATGTAATATCAGGGATTTCACTTTTTATGGTGCTGGGGATGGAACAAAGGGCACCATGCATACCAGACAAGTATCTACCATTCAAGGACACGCCCAGCCCTAGGGATTTTTTGTAATTTTAAGAATTACTAAGTATTTTAGTGCTTGCTACAATCAATATTTAGTGCTTGCTTTTAACAATTGAATCTTGGGCTGGGAATGTGGCTTAGTGGTATAAGTGTTTGCCCTGGGTTCGATTCCTCAGTACCATATTAACAGAAAAAGCCAGAATTGGCACTGCGGCTCAAATGGTAGTGTACTAGCCTCAAGCAAAAGGAGCTCATGGACAATGCCCAAGCCCTGAGTTCAAGCCCCAGGACTAGCAAAAAATTAAAAAATTGAAAAGAAATTGAATCTTAACAAGTAGAATGCAATACAGATCTAAATTCAGTAAGCTTGAAGGATATCTTAGGTGGGTAAATGGAGGCAACATGGGTAGATTGTTTTTTGAGGGGGTGGTTTTCTTTTTTGAGGGGTGGTAGTTGATGCTGGGGATTAAACCCAAGCCTCATGTAGGCTAAGCATCATACAATCTTTTTGTTGTTGTTGTTGTTGGTCTTGGGGCTTGAACTCTGGGCCTGGGCGCTGTTCCTCAGCTCTTCAGCTCAAGGCGAGTGCTCTACCACTTGAGCTACAGCGCCACTTCCGGTTTTCTGGTGGTTTATTGGAGATAGGAGTCTCACGGTCTCTCCTGCCCGGGCTGGCTTTGAACCGCGATTCTCAGATCTCAGCCTCCTGAGTAGCTAGGATTACAGACGTGAGCCACCAGCGCCCGGCTAGCATCATACAATCTTAACTCTCCCTCCACCCTACCCATAGATTTTATTTTTCTTTTTGGTTGGAACTCAGGGCCTTGTACTTGGTAAGTAGGTGTTCTGCTACTTGACTCACACCTCCACTCTTTTCTGGTTTTGTTATTTTTTGTATACCCCAAAATATAGCTAGGATGACAATATGTATCATTATGCCCAGTTTGTTTTATTGAGCTAGGTTTCTGAATGGGCTAGATCTTGAGACCTTCCCAATCTGTCTCAAGTAGCTGAATTATCAAGTATAATCCACTTTGCCTGGCTTTTTTTCCCCCCAATTTATTTTACAGTGCTGGGAACAGGGACTTAAACATGCTAGACAAGTGCTCTACAACAGAACTATATCCCAAGTCCCTATGCTTTTATATTTTCTGTATTTTGGGGTATACAATTGTATACAATTTCAGAATAAATTTTGCTGCTTTAAAAAAAAGTGGGGCTGGGAAGGTGGCTCAGTGGTAGAGCGCTTGGCTTGTAATGCATGAGGCCCTGGGTTCGATTCCTCAGCACCACATAAGAAAAAAGCCGGAAGTGGCGCTGTGGCTCAAGTGGTAGAGCGCTAGCCTTGAGCTGAAGAGCTGAGGGACAGCGCCCAGGCCCAGAGTTCAGGCCCCACGACCGGACCCAAAAAAAAAAAAAGTATGCTGTGGGTATAGTAACACACACCTGTAATCTCAGCATTCTGGAGGCTGAGGTAGGAGGATCTCAGCCAACCTAGGCTGCTTATCCTGTTCAAGACAAGCCTGATCTACAAAAGAGACATTGTCTCAAAAAAAAAAAAAAAACATGAAAATCATAGTTGGGAGAACTACTTCCATAATTTAGGTCCTTTTTACTTGTCACATGAATTGCCTATATGATAGTTCTACCTTTCTCCTCCCAGATTCATCCCTACATTGCTTCACGGCCTGTGGTTATACCACAATTTAGAAAATAAATGCAAGCTGGAGGAAACTTCTGTTTGCTATCTACTTAACCTCTGTTGTATCCTTTCCCATAAGGACATATAATTGCCTTTAGATATGAGGAAAATGTAGCATAAAAAATAAAGTAAGCCGGGCTCCAGTGGCTAACACCTGTAATACTAGCTACTCAGCAGGCTAATATCTAACAGCTAGAAATCAGTCTGGACAGGAAAGTCTGTGAGACTTTTTTTTTTTTGGTCAGTTGTAGGGTTTGAACTCCGTGCCTGGGCACTGTCCCTGAGCCCTTCAGCTCGAGGCAAGCGCTCTACCACTTGAGTCACAGCGCCACTTCTGGTTTTCTTGTGGTTAATTAGAGATAAAAGTCTCATGGACTTTCCTGCCCAGGCTGACTTTGAACCATGATCCTCAGATCTCAGCCTCTTGAGTAGCTAGAATTATAGGCATGAGCCTCCAGCACCTGGTTCAATTATCTCCAATTAACTACTAGAAAACCTAGAAGTAAAGCTATGGCTCAAAGTGGTAGAACACTATCCTTGAGCAAAAGAGCTCAGAGACAACACCTAGGCCATAGTTCAATTCCCAACTAACCAAAAAAAGAAAAGAATAAAGCAGCCAAGCACTGGTGGCTCACATCTTTTACTCAGGTCCTCCAGGACCAGCACTAAATAAATAAACAAAACAAACAAGCCAAGCGCTGGTGGCTCACGCCTTCAATACTATCTACTCAGGAGGCTGAGAGCTGTGGATCTCTTACACAGGCTGAAATCAGCCTGGGTAATAAAATCTGTGAGACTTTTTTTTTTTTTGCCAGTCCTGGGGTTTGAACTCAGGACCCAGCACTATCACTGTTCTGTTTTTGCTCAAAGCTAGCACTTTACTACTTGAGCCACAGTGCCACTTTCAGCTTTTGCTGTTTATGTGGTACTGAGGAATCAAACCCAAGGTTTCATGCATGCGAGGCAAGCACTCTACCAGTAAGCCACATTCTTAGCCCTGTGAGACTCTTATCTCCAGTTAATCACCAGAAACCAGAAGTGATGCTGTGGCTCAAGTGGTAGAATGCCAGCCTTGAGCAAAAGCAATTTAGGGATAGTGCCCAGGCCCTAAATTCAAGCACCAAGACTGGCAAAAGGAAAAAAAAAGAACATTTACACTGCCAGGCACTGGTGGCTCATGCCTCTAATCCTGGCTACACAAGAGACTGAGCTCTGAGGATCACAGTTCAAAGCCAGTCTGGGAAGGATAGAGACTCTTATCTCCAATAAATTACTCAGAAAAAGCCAGAAGTGGCATTGTGGCTCAAGTGATAGAGACCTAGCTCAGGGACAGAACCCAGAGCCTGAGCTCAAGCAACAAAACCAGAAAAGAAAAAAACAAAAAAACAAAAAACATTTACAGCCGTAGGTGCTTCGCTGATATCAAAAAGTTTAAGAACCTCTGCCTTTTCTATTCCCAACTTAATAAAATCAGTGATGGTAATTGCTTATGGATAAAAAAGCTTGGTGTAATTGAATGGGAAGACAAAGGAAGGGACAAATTACTAGAAGTATCAAAGAAAATGGAAAGGGTGATCCACTGGGCAGGAACCTGGCTCTCCTGACCCATTGGATTCTATGACCAACAACGCAGTGTAGTGGTACTCTCCAGTGCACCCAAATCGTTGGACTCACTCAGTTTATCTGTGGGAGTGGAACTGTTTGTGTGATTTTAAAACTACCTATGCCGGGCTGGGAAGGTGGCTCAGTGGTAGAGCGCTTGCCTTGCATGCATGCGGCCCTCAGCACCACATAAGCAGAAAAAAAAAAGCTGGAAGTGGCGCTGTAGCTCAAGTGGTAGAGTGCTAGCCTTGAGCTGAAGAGCTGAGGGATAGCACCCAGGCTTAGAGTTCAGGCCCCACAACAGGACCGACCCCTCCCAAAAAAAACTACCTATGCCCATGTTTTTTTCCTGTATGTATATAATAATGTTAAATATCACATAAGCCTATAAAAATACTTCATTAAAAACTGTTCCTGAGGTTGGAGGTGTGGCTCAGCTGGTAGAGTGCTAGCCAGTAAGTGAAAGTGTCAGGTATTGAATTCAAGTCCCATGTCTTACACACACACACACACACACACACACACACACACACACACACACACACACACACACACACACACACACACACACACACACCAATCAAAACTGTTCCTATGAAAACTAAGTCGAATTGGGAAACTGAAGACCCTACCACAAAAAACAAAAATATAAAAAAATAAAATAAAATACTCTGCAGAGACATAAAGAGTAATATACATGTAAAAACTGGTAAGTTAGCAGTGAGCAAGTCAACTGTAAATCTGGTGATAAGCCTTGAAAATCTCAAAAGTGTTGCACTTATATTCCTTCCAGGGAAGTATCCAATCTCACTTCACTTTCTAGAAACAAAAACTGGCAATTATAGATGAAAAGTGTCTGAGAGGCTCTCATCTATGGTGATACACTGGAATGACCTGGAAAAGTTAAAAGACCACCCTCCTCCCAATTGTGATTTAATTAGCCTGGATGTGGGCCCAAGCATCCCTAATTTGATAAAGTTCTCAGGGTGCAGCAAGGAGACTCCCTTGTGTAGTAAAAACTAGAAAGACAATTGGGAACTCCATTCAAGAGAGTTATAAAGTCTCAGCACTAAAAGATTGGTGAAGTAAATGTACTTTTAATTATTGTACTTAAGATATGTATGCATTATCTTTAAAATTCCTAACTTTGTCTTTTTCAATTGATGTTATAATTACTACCTAACATAATAATATAAAAGAGCTTCAATTATATGGCAAGGAGGCTTATAGAACACAAAAAAACATCTGATCCAGGCCCACATTACCAAACAGGTCTCAGCTTGAGTCTTCTTTCAGTTTAGAAGTCTCGAGTTAAGACGCAACAACCGGGAACTGCTGAGGACTTGGGCTCCTGGTTTCCAGGTTGGTTTTCTGTCTGTGGCTGGGCACGAGTCAGGGGCAGTCTCTCCTAAACCTCTCAGTCCGGTTCTGTGTGTTGAGGTTGCCTGGGGGTCGTCATGGGGATGGGGGAGCGGCCTGGGAAGGAACTGTTTCTCCTAGCCTCCATTTCACAGGCAGTCTACATTGCTCGGAACTGGGTCAGAGAACAAAAAGTTGTTGGCACTCACAGGGTGAGCCTCAGGAGGCAGGCGAATCTCAATCCTCCCCCTGGCCAAGGGCACCCCAACCCAGACTCCCTCACACCCCCTCGCCCTCCCCAGAAACAAGTAACCAAAAAGTCCGGAGGAAAAAAAGGAGAATCGGACGACTTCGAACCTAATATTTTCCTCCTCCCGGCCAGGGATGAGACTCTGGAGGTCGGAGGTCGAGCACCGGCTGGGAGGGGAAGTTCAGGGGCTGGGGGTCACTCACCACGGTCCGGCCCGGGCAGCGGCTCCCAGCCTCGCACCATGAGCCGAGGGGGCAGGGGGAGCGGGGAGGGGAAGAGGGCAGAGGGCCTCCGGGTGGGAGTGGAGTTATAAATCGGTGCGGCCTGCTCCAAGCCCACCCGCGCGGAGGGTCGGGACCAGGACAGTCCACCCCCCGCCCCCGAGAGCCTGGGGGTCCAGCCCTCCCAGCTCCTGCGAGTTGGAGGCGGGGCTGATGGGTGGGTGGGTGCCCAGGGGGCGGTGCCAAGGTGGCCTGAGTTCTGATTGGCGGGTTCCAGCAGGCGGGCACCAACGCCACGCACTGGACCGGTCATTGGCTGCGTAGGGTCTCGGCTGAAGACTGCAATTGGTTGCCCGGTTCACGGCTGGGGTCAGCCAAGAAGGTGTCCCCTGGGACTGGGTACTTTAAGTGGTACCTCGCCTACTCGACCTATCAGCACAGGACCTTCTAAGTACTTTGGGTATCATTCTCCCTTAAATTCTCTCTACCTGTCTGGACTGGGAATAACTACATTTACTGCTTTAGGAAGTCTTCTGGGAGTCCTTTTTAATATTTCCTCCTGACTTACACAGGAGCCCTGTCCTCCCCAGCCCATGCCTAGCCGCCGCCAGCAGCGTCAGCTGTAGAAAGCGGTATAATCAAAAAGACTGAAACAAAACCCAAAAAAATCTCAAGCCACTGAGAATTTGTGCTTGAGATGGATCAGATATCTTGCACCCAGAAATCTTTCTGGGGGATCTTAGGAACCAGTCATCTCATGGGTCAATCTGATACCAGAAAGGTGTTCCTGAAGATGAAATGTTGGAGTCACCATTTTGGGACCTACCAGACCCCTCTGGCTCCTCCCGGTGCCCTGGTAAAAAGGGTTCGGAGTTCTGTTTCCTATTTGGGGAGTTTGGTTTTCCCTGTCAAGTAAAGGGTCACAATAAAATGCTTTTGAGGAAAGCATTACCCCACACTGTATGAAGTTCTGGGCCAGATTTAGCCTATTTAGGATTCTCCATCTTCGTAATAAAAATTGGGAACACTTTTTTCTTCAGTGACATCTCCCAGGTCCTCTTTAAAAAGCCTTGTGTGCCCAGGCTCAGAGTTCAAGCTCCAGAACTGGCACAAAGCTTCAAAGCTGTCTATTTTCTCTTAATAGTCTGTCTCGCTAATTTTCATTACATTTGGTAACAATTGCAGCTCTTAAGAGCTTTCTTTCAAAGTAATACATAGCAAAAAAAAAAAAAAAATCAGGCTGAGCACCAGCAGCTCATGCCTGAATCCTAAACTACTCTAAGATCTGAGATCTAGTTGAGGATTCTAGCTGAGATCTGAGGATCTTGAATTGACGCCAGCTTGGGCAGTGAAGTTCATGATACTTCACTACCAAAAAGCCAAAGTAGAGCTGTGGTTTAAGTGGTATAGTGCTAGCCTTGAGCAAAAGAAACTCAGGGATGGTGCTCAAGTCCTGAGTTCAAGCCCTACAAAAAAAAAATTTAAAGCCGGGAGCTGGTGGCTCACACCTATAATCCTAGGTACTCAGGAGGCTGAGATCTGAGGATCGCAGTTCAAAGCCAGCCCGGGCAGGAAAGTCTATGAGACTCTTCTCTCCAATAAACCACTAGAAAACTGAAAGTGGCGCTGTGGCTCAAGTGGTAGAGCGCTTGCCTTGTGCTGAAGAGCGCAGGGACAGCACCCAAGCCGAGTTCAAGCCCCACACTGACCAAAAAAAAAAAAAAAAAAATAGGGAGCTGGGAATGCTTGCCTAGCATGCATGAAGCCCTGGGTTTCATAAACAGAAAAAGCCAGAAGTAGTACTGTGGCTCAAGTGGTAGAGTACAAGCCTTGAGCAAAAAGAAGCTCAGGTGTAGTGCCCAGGTCCTGAGTTTAAGCCCCATGACTGGAAAAAAAAATAATAATGAGGGTAATTAAATTACATACTAATTAGAAATCAGTGATGATTCTTCAAGGTGTGAGCTAGGACTGTTGATATCTATTAAGACATTCTCCTAAATCATGATAATACAATGCTCTACTGATTTGTATGTAATGATGGAAGGAAAAAGTAGAACATTTTATCTAGTGATAGCCTTCAATTACCAAGAAAGAGATTGCTCCCTCATGACCCAAACAGTTTGTTAGACTGGATTAACTAGAAAGTGTTCATGTTCAGCTAGAAAGCCAGGATGGAACTTTATAGGAGAACTAATTACCTAACCCTGGAAGTATTGGTGAGTCACTCTAGCTGTCCTCTGATCATGAAATTGGAACTAATAAAAGGTGGAAAACTTGGTCACCTTTCTATTTCAAGACACTCCTGAGTCGGAGACTGGGAGGAAAGGAGATAATCCATGAAAGGAAGAACCTCCCTTGACCCAATTCTAGAGTGAATTCTAAGATGAAGCCTCTTCAAGTTTCACCCTCTAGGTTTAGAAGATGGAGTGCAGTGAGGTAGGAACTGGATTAAGAGGAAGAAGTCTAAGTAGACAATATGAGAGAAGGGAGGGACCCACTTTTAGCAGGACAATATTCAGCCCCTCTTTCAGGAACTTGTGCTGAAGAATAGGGACTTACTATATTCAATATACAGATGTTAATGGCTCCACCTTTGGTAAAAATGTTCTCTCCTTTTGCAAGGCTCAGTGATTAGCAAGGATGATTGATACCTTTACCCCATCTATATCTAAGGATTCCAAAGTTTCAAGGTGCTTCCTGTAAGGCAGTGAGAGAGACCTAGCCACATGACAGACAATGTACATGAGGTTTTGTAAAATTTGCAAAAATTTACTTGAACTGAAAATGTAGTTAAGATTGGTATCTTGCCAGGCACCAGTGGCTCGTATTTCCTAGCTAGTCAGGAGGCTGAGATCTGAGGATTACAGTTCAAAGCCAGCCCCAGCAGAAAAAACAAACAAAAAAACAAAACCTCCTTGAAATTCCTATCTCCAATTAACTATTCCCCCCCACACACACACACACAAAACCCACAGAAGGGCTGGGAAGGTGGCTCAGTGGTAGAGCGCTTGCCTTGCATGCATGAGGCCCTGAGTTCGATTCCTCAGCACCACATAAGCAGGAAAAAAAAAAGCTGGAAGTGGCACTGTGGCTCAAGTGGTAGAGCGCTAGCCTTGAGCTGAAGAGCTGAGGGATAGGCCCAGAGTTCAGCCGGACCCAAAAAAAAAAAAAAAACACACAGAAGTGGAGCTGTGGCTCAAAGTGCTACAGTGCTAGCCTTAAGCAAAAGAGTTCAGAGACAGTGCCCAGACCCTGAATTCAAGCCCCACAACTAACACAAAAAAAAAAGAAAAAAGATTGGTGTCTCTTCCCTTTTGATTTCCCCTTCATCAGTTAGCAATATAGAAACCCCAGATATGCCAGATATTTTGGAAATGGCTAAGTAGGAAATATGTTTAGTTTGGGAGCTAGGTGCCAGCGGCTCACACCTCAGGAGGATGAGATCTGAGGACTGTGGTTCGAAGTCAGCCTGGGCAGGAAAGTCTGTGAGACTCTTATCTCCAATAAACTACCAAAAACGGCCAGAAATGAAGCTGTGGTTCAAGGGGTAGGACACTAACCTTGAGCAAAAGCAGCTCAGGGACAGTGCTCAGGCCCTGACTTCAAGCCCCTGCATTGGCACAAACAAAAAGCCATTTAGTTTGAGTAGGTATACTTATGTGTAGTTAGTAGTTACTTCTGTGAATACATTGTTTCCATGTAGATATAATATTATGGGCTGAACTGTGCCAGCCCCCCATGTTAAAACTACTCCCTAGCTCCTCAGAGTGAAGCTATATGATGTTAAGTTTCTTTTTTTTCTTTCTTTTTTTGCTGGTCCTGGGGCTTAAACTCAGAGCCTGGATGCTGTTCCTGAGCCTCTTTGTGCTCAAGGATACTACTGGAGCCACTTGAGCCACAGCACCACTTCTGTTTTTTTTTTCCAGTTTATTGGAGATACTTTTCTGCCTGGGCTGGCTTCAAACTGCAATCCTCCGATCTCAGCCTCCTGAGTAGCTGGGATTACAGGAATGACCCATTAGTGCCTGACTTCTTATCCTTTAAATACTACGTAATCATATCAAAGAGCATGAAATATACTGAAGAAAACCTATTTGCCACATAATCTTTCATCATCTTTTTTTTTTTTTTTTTTTGGTCGGTTGTGGGGCTTGAACTCTGGGTCTGGGCACTATCCCTCAGCTCTTCAGCTCAAGGCTAGCGCTCTACCACTTGAGCCACAGCGCCACTTCGGCTTTTTCTGTTTATGTAGTGCTGAGGACCCAGGACTTCATGCATGCAAAGCAAGCACTCTACTACTGAGCCACCTTCCCAGCCCCTTTCATCATCTTTGTAAAAACCAATTTGTTTGGTATCTTTCCTCATGTTGTCCCCAAGTTTGGTTTGTAATTTTGAATTTATCTTTTTTTCTTCCAAGTTGTAGACTTTTAGCACTCAGAAACATGGATCTACCCCTGGGACTAACAAAATGGATAAAAGAATCCTGCTCCAGCATCTGTCTCATCTTCTAAGAAACACCAGAGCTAGGAAGAGCTAAAGAGCCAAAAAGAACTGCAAGTCCTAGGAATCGATGGATCTGAGAAAGCAAAAGCTACGCTGAAGGTGTGTGTGTGGGGGGAGATGACGTAGTTGGGGAGATCGGGAGATGGGAGGGAAGGGATGGTAGGGGAAAAACAAAGGAGGAGGCAACAATGCTTGATAAGAAATGTACTCATTCCCTTGCTTGTGTTCATGTGATGGTAACCCCTCTGTACAGTATTTTCACAATAAAAACTTATTAAAAAAAAAAAAAAGCTACACTGAATGTGTTTGTGAAAGAATTTTTTGACGAACCCATCAGGAAACTAAGAAGTCTCAAAAGAGATCAGGACCACAGAGCCCCTAGGTATTCAATAAGCCATGAGAAGCAGCCCTGGGCTTACCTCTCTGTGGGTGTCTGTTCCTCATGCTGACTCTTCCCTTCAGCATGTCTGGCTTCATTACACCATGTGTGGAAGAGTGGGTGTTCCGTTGTGATATCACAACTTGGCCCTTATGACATGATAACATATCTAAACTTGCTCCAGCTAGACATTCCATATTAGTAAGGTGGTTTTTTCCTTAGGTGGTGGGTAATGAATTCTTTCATCTTTTAGGTGATTATGAGAGTTAATCCTGTTAGATCTTTTTTTTGAAGAATTTCCTTTTGTGGTGGGTACTGGAGATTGAACCCAGGGCACTGTATATGCTAGGCAAGTACTATGTACCATTTGAGTTATGTTACCAGATAAAAGTTGATCTTTTTCAAGGACTTCTTTCCTTTAATCACTTCTATCACTCTATCCTAGGCTAGATAAAGGTCTTGTCTGTCAAATTTCTTATCCTTTGCTTCAGGGTTGCTTTTGACAAAGGGCTTTGCTTTTCCATAGTGCCTATTGAATGTAACTCAAATGGCCTCCTAAGAAACAGTCCCAACCAAAAAGGAAACAGCTTTTCCCAAGTGGCTCTCTTTAACAGCAGCTGCTGATGCCAGGGAACTAAAGAGCTAGGCCCTGGTACTTTCCTATTACCCCAAATGGTGGTAAGATCCTGTAACACATAACACACAACAGGACCCCTGAAGATCTGGCCAACCCCTAAAGACTTCCCAGCAACCAGGGATATAGTAGTCCTTGGCTGCAGACCTCCTAGAGTACTCATTTAGTGGGGCTGGAAGAAATATGGATGAGTTTTGGAAACAATACTACAGAGGAAAGGAAGTATAGACAAATTCATTTGATGTGCACAGTAGGGTTTATATAATATTGCTGTGCCAGGTCAGTCCAAACTCAGGAAGTCAGCAGGGGAGGCATAGTCTCAGTTCTCACATTAAGAGAGAGGTACACACCAAAGGCTTATGGGCAGGAACTTTTGGGAATCTCAAGAGGACCAGACAACACAATGAATATTCAAGAATATTCATTATTTTCTCCCATTCTACAAGGTGGGGTGGCACTGACAGTTTATAAGTCCAAGTACCATAGGTGTAGCATTTATCATTATAAGTGAAAGAAGACAGCTCAGCCCAGGGCAGGGCCCAGCCTTGGGACAATGGAGGAAACTGTTAACTTAATCCCACTAATGAGGAGTCTAAGCAAGGCAATTCCTTATAGAGAGCTCAGAAAAGTTTTATCCTTGGTTCCATCTCCAGTGGGAGTCTGCATTTACTCAAGAGATAATACCAGGGCTCTCAAAGAGGGCTCAAGCATAGATCATAGCAGCTGTCTGAACTAGAGACCTTTCTTGTGGAAATATTAGGGAATTTGCCTGGCCAAGGACAATGAGTAGTGGGGAAGAGAAGTAAACACTCAAAATGTCCTCTAGAGAGGGCTGGTGGAGCCAGGAGAGAATACACTGTATGGAAAGGTACGACAGAACAGATAGGGAGGGAAGACAGGGAAATAATTTTTTTTTTTTGTGGCGGGGGGGGGGGGGGGGGGGGGGGGGGGGGGGGAGTGTCCGGTCGTGGGGCCTGAACTCTGGGCCTGGGCCCTGTCCCTCACCTCTTCAGCTCAAGGCTAGCTCTCTACCACTTGAGCCACAGCGCCACTTCCGGCTTTTTTCTTTTTGCTTATGTGGTGCTGAGGAATCGAACCCAGGGCCTCATGCATGCAAGGCAAGCGCTCTACCACTGATCCACCTTCCCAGCCCATAATATTATTTTTAATAACTATAAAAATGGGCAGACTCAAATTGGAACCAGGAAACAACAAAGCAGTTAGCTCCCTCCACTTAAATGCTAAGTTACAAGACCAGAGAAAACTAATTAGGGTTAGCTATCTAAAATTGCCTTCTCCTTTCAAATGGTAAAAACTTGGCCACTCTCTGTAAATGGATAGACTGCAGGATGAGAGGCTTATCTGATGAAAGGAAGCTTAAGACTCACTTATGGTCCCTGTTTTGAGTAGGCCCAGAGATAACTCCATATTTTTGCTTACCCAGAACCATTGTCTAAGGGTTGGGGGGCTGCTAGTTGTGACCATCTGTATCCCCTTAGTTCAGAAGGAATCAAGGCAGGTAACAATAGCCATTTTGAGTCTTTTAACTCCTCTTTCCTACTGGGAAGGTTTAGAATGTTTCTGTTTCTCCCTACCTTAACCCTGATGTACTAAAATAAAACTTTGCTAAAACTTATACTTCTTAAATCTTCCCTTTTGTGAGCCATCTTGAAATCCTTTCACACATTGATCTCAAGGATCTATGGTTTCATATGGAAGCCCTCAACCTCCTTCTCACTGCCCCGGTCCTGGATTCCATCCTAGGTCAGGGAACTAAAAGTCTTACTACTTTCACGGCTTTCTGTTCACTTTCAAATAAACTTACTTGGTTTATCTTAAACATTTTCCTGCCTTTTCATTCCTTAATGGGTAAAAAAAAAAAATCAATCCATTCTTCTAGATGGTATCAATAGACTCCTAAGTTCTTTAGCAGACAGATAGGGTGGCCCCTTCTGGTCCTGGGGAGCTGGGACACTGGCACAGGCAACAACAGCAAGTTTTTGAGAAAAACAGAGGAAGACTGAGACCCTCAGTGCTTTGCCTTCTCCAAGCCAGTTCACAAGACTAGGAGGATGGAAAGGCACAGGTCTTTTCCTAGCAAGAGATGATACACAAACAATGTTTGTAATTTTATTTTTAAAGAAAAAAAATAACATCATGGTATTGCATATAGTATCTGTAGATTACCTGGGCTTAAAATCCTAGCAGTGCCATTTCCTAGCTGTGTGATCTTAAACAAATTACTAAGTTTTTCTGAGACTTTTATCTAAAACACAGACAATGATAATTGACCAATAGGTTTTGAGCATGCATGTAAAATACATTTTAGCAGACAAATGTTAAGTGTGAGCTATGATTATTGCTAATTCAACATAACAGCAACACATACACATTAGGCAAGACATTATTACACACTGAACCTTGACCCAGACTTCCTGGGCTCCCCTCAGATGACTCAACAGTGCACTGAGTGGTGGTCTCCAACACAGTTTCTCTCTTCACTTTGCTGGAACTTGAACCTGAAGGTGATCCACAAGATGCATGAAATTCTTTTTTCTTCAAAAGATAAGGATGTTGTTTAAATGGGCACCTGTTTGAGGAATGACCCAGCTATCTCTTGTCAAAGGATTGAGGCTCTGGAGAGAAGGGGCAAATATGGGCATATATGCCCACTCTCTTCTACATACTGATAGAGAAAAGGAGAAGGCAGAATATGTTGAGAAATGAATGGCAGAAAAGAGTGTGGAGAGGGGCTGGGAAGGTGGCTCAGTGGTAGAGCGCTTGCCTTGCATGTCTGAGGCCCTGGGTTCAATTCCTCAGTATCACATAAGCAAAAAGAAAAAAGCCGGAAGTGGTGCTGTGGCTCAAGTGGTAGAGCGCTAGCCTTGAGCTGAAGAGCTGAGGGCCAGCGCAGAGGCCCAGAGTTCAGGCCCCACGACCAGACCCAAGGAAAAAAAAAAAAGGTGTGGAGAGTTAGTTACCTGGGTGCTCCTTGTTCATCTGTAATAACAGGAACTGCTTCTTTTCCCTCTTCTCCCTTCAGAAGACAGTGAAGGAGTCTGAAGGAGAAAGGTGGATCAACCATGGTCTTGGAAGAAAAGGAAGTAGGGTCTTCACCTCTTCTGAAGGGAGAATGAATAACAGAGATCAACAAGGATAAAGAGAAAAAAGGAGGAAATAAAGGTAAATATCCTACATATTCAAAGAAAAAAGAGATGAGAAGGGATGGCCAAGGAAGAAAGAGAAAAGCAAAGAGGTCAGAGGATAAAAAGATAAGTATGGACTCAATAAAGAAATGACCCAGAAGTTAAAGTTAACCAGAACAACAGCGTGGAATGTGACAGCGTGGAAGAATCAGGTTTTTCCATTTAATTGACTCAGGATATGAATGAGACTGCCATCTTCTGGTGCCATTTAATTTCTAAGTTGCTCTCATTCTTGATAGGTTTTCCATTTCTTTTTTTCTTTTTTTTTTTTTTATCGGTCCTGGGGCTTGAACTCTGGGCCTGGGAGCTGTCCCTGAGCTCTTCAGCTCAAGGCAAGTACTATACCACTTGAGCCACAGGGCCACTTCTGGTTTTCTGGTGATTTATTGGAGATAAGTGTCTCACGGACTTTTCTGCCTGGGCTGGCTTTGAACCACGATCCTCAGATCTCAGCCTCCTGATTAGCTAGGATTATAGGCATGAGCCACCAGTGCCCGGTTCCATTTCTTTTATCAATATCAATAATCTTTTTTTGTGTGTGTGCTAGTACTAGGGCTTGAACTAAGGGCCTGGGCTGTCCCTTAGCTTTTTTGCTCAAGGCTAGCATTCCATCACTGAAGCTACATGTCCACTTCCAGGTTTTTGGTGGTTAATTGGAGACAGGATTCTCATGGACTTTCCTGCCTTGGCTGGCTTTGGATGGAATTCTTAGATCTCAGTTCCCTGAGTAACTATGACTCCAGGTCTAAGCCACCAGTACCCAGCTATACCAATAATCTTTTCTCATCCAGAGAGGTCTCAACATTGCTTCTTTTCATTTTGGGACTTCCAAGCATTACTTTTCTCAATGGAGATACACTTCCCAAAGCTTTCTCTGAGTACCCACTGCTGGAAGTCTGTAGAGGCAAAAGCAAAAAAGCAAGGGGTGTAGGATAAGCAATGATTTGGAAGAAGCTCTGGAATACTCTGTAGCTGAAGGCTAGAATCTTTCCTGGGCTCTAGAATGTATGTGCCCAAAATGTGGGGACCTAACCATGGGTTGAAGGTGCTGTGCAATCTTCACTGTCACATGAGGTTAGCGGATGTAGCTTCTAACCTACAGGGTGCTATGCACAGATCATAAAATGTCAAATAGTAGCCTTAAGAGATCACCCAACTCAGACCGAATTTCACAAGAAGGATACTGGCACTCAAACAGGTAATGTGTCCAAATTTATACAACTAGTCAATGACTTCCTTTTCTACTACAGCAGGAAAAAAACAATAGTGAAGACTCTTGTGCCCCTTGACAAACAGTCCATAAAGTGCTAGAGGTTAAGAAGGCACCCAGAAAGATAAGGCTGGCATTTTTTCTGGAAGCCCTGAGTATACCAATCTCTTAGGTGTCCCATTATTTAACTAAAAGAACAGGGCTACAATTGCCTTAATTCCCACCTGCCTGCCTGGAGGCGAAGAAGCTCTGACTACTGTCAGTACTTCCCGGCCAGACCATGAAGACTAGGTGAAAAGGGAATCCAGGGAGCAATGGCCAAGTCCCCAGGATTAAGCAATGCAACTGTGGATGAAAGAAAGCTAAAATGGGCAGGGATGGCGGACCCGAGGTTGCCAAGGCTAGTAGGGGCGATCTGAATGTCTTCACATATCAAAAACCTCCACAATCCATAACGCCGCTTACAAGGTACTTTCTCCCATTTCCACCTTTACCCTCTCTTCTGTTTGCTTCTAATCCCTCCAGCGCCCTTCTGCATGTCTTTTCTATGCCGTGAGTTCCCTCTTACACTCAGCCGGCTTTTTCCTCCCCAACCTCTCTGAACTTCGTGGATTTCTCCCACCCTGGTCTCCGCCGACCTTGATTTTCCCCTTTCCTCCCGCCCCCCTCGGCTTCCCCTCGCCCCCCTCCCCGCCCCCGCCCCGGGTGCCTTTGAGTTTCTCCGTAGTGGCGGGCCAGCGCCTCGTCTCAGATAAAGTGGATCCAGCCCTGGGGCTCCGGGACTCCGCCACTGCCCGGATGCTCGGGCCCACGTAGAGCATAGTCTCGGCCACCGTTGTTGTCCCAGAACTCGTGACCCGTCACACGGTAACGCAAGGCGAAGAGCAGAGAACCTCCAATGGGCGGCGCGGGCAGGCGGAAGGCGAAGCGGTCCGCGCGCGGAGGGGGCGGGGCCGGGCCGGCGTAGGCGGCGGGGGCTTCGCGCTGGCTCCGCCAGCCGTCGGCGCTCCAGCGTACGCTCACGCGCTTCTCGTAGGCCAGGTCCAGCACGCGCGCGCTCCCGGCCACGCCCAGTGGGCCCGCCTCGGCGCGTTCCAAGCAAATGCGCTGTGCCTGCAGGCGCGCGACGAAACCGGGCTCGCAGGCCGGCTCCAGGGCGGCGCGCGCCTCCTGGGTGGAAAGAGGGGCGGGGAGGAGGGAAGGGGGCGTGGTTAGAGGTGCGGGCCAATCAGAGGCCGACCCGGCTTCGGGCTGGCAGAATGGGGCCCCTTTAAAGAAGAGTGGCCTAGAGCCACTCCCAACTTGGGGATCCCCAAAAGGGAAGAGCTGTTGCCAGCTCTGTGTTGCAGCTGGATGGGTGCTCCTTGGAAATTCTACTCCCACACGCCCGCCGCGGCCAACTGGGGGAGTCCCGGGGAAGGGGCGTGCCCCCGCCGCCTACCTGGAGGCTGCGGGCGCGCGGCTGGCACGGCGCGAAGTGACGGAGGGCGTCCCTCTGGTGCTGAACCTGCACGTGGCGGGGCACCCGAGGCAGCTCTCCGGGACGGAAGCGGCGCACGGAGGCCAGCTCCAGCCCCAGCGCGTCCGCAAAGCGTACTCTCTTGCGGGTGTCAGGGCTACGGCTGCGGGGCGCACGAGCTGCACCGCCTCCGGCTGGTGCAGAGCGAGCTCGGCGACCCCGATGTGGAGCGTGAGCGCGGGATCGGGCACCGGGCCGGGTCCCGCCCTCGCCGAGCTCCTCCTCGAGCTCCTCCTCGAGGCTTGGCCGCTGGCTGCGGTAGTAGGCGCGCTCTGTCAGTGCAGCTATAAAGCTTAGGTTGCGGGGAATGTCTGTGCGGAGGGGCCGCTCGCGGGACATGTCACCCCCCGCCGCAGCTGGGCTAGCCCTCAGCGCCCTGCCGTTGCCCTCCCTCCCTCTCTCCCGCCTGTTCTGCGTCCACACAGGAACCGCCGGGCCCGCTTCTGCAGCCCCTCGCCGCGGCGTTCTCTCCTTGCTGTCACCTCCACGATCCTTCACCTCCCGTGGTGGCTCTGCCTGGTCTCCGTAACCACCTTTCCCTCCCTCTGGCTGTCAGCTCCCAGTGTCTTAGACTATCGCATCCTGCCTCCTGCGAGCTGTCTGCTCTGAGCGTGCGCTCAGCGGCGTCTACTCTCCGGTCCTGCGGGCCTCGCTGCCGCGGCCCCCGCCCACATCCCTCTGACAGGTGGCTCTCTATCCGTCTTCGCTGCTGCACCAGGGGGCGGGGACTGCAAGCTTTCGGTCCCAAGTGAGGCCACCCATTTTCCCCCTTGTGATGTGGTCAACCCTAGCACAGAAAGGGTTAAGAAGGAAGAAGGAAAGGTAGTCTTTCATTTTCTTGCAGAAGGGTCAAAAGACTTCAACTTCAGATCTGATCATTTTCTCTTCCTTCCATTTTTCCTTCTTTCTTTTTTCCCTTCCTTCATTCCCTCCCTCCCCCCCCCCCATTTCTCTTTTTCTCTCTTTCTTTGCAACAGTACTGGCTCTTAGTTTTTTCACTGAAGGAAGGCTAACACTCCTCTACTACTTGAGCCATAGCTCCACTCCAGCTTTTTGCTAGTTAATTGAAGAATTTCATTGACTTTCTTACCCTGGCTGGCTTTGAACTGCGATCCTCAGTTCTCAGTCTCTTGAGTATTTTAGAAGTACAGGCATGAGCCACTGCGGCCAAGCAAACTCACTGCTCCAGGTTTGGAAGGGGTGGTGAGTACAAAGGAAAGATCAGTAGAGAGGTGTTGCGTTCAAAAGAGTGAGTGACTGAACACTCCCATTGGGGAGAGCCTGAATTGAGCAGTGGGAAGACCTAGTTGTTAGTCCTACCTCTGGTGCAGTGTAGCAGTGTAACTCTGAGCAAGACACAACTTCTGTGGACCTCGGGTTCCTCATATGTAAAAACTGTAGGTTAGAGTTCTGATCTTCAACTGCAAATCTGAGAGAGGGCAAAACTGTGTCTGACTCATGGTCTCTTTAAATTACTGAACAAATAGGCACATTTGAAGCTGTGCACCAGTGGCTCAGGCCTGTAATCCCAACAACTCATGGGGCTGAGATCTGAGGGTTGGTTCAAAGCCAGCCTAGAAGACAAATTCCAGAGATTCTTAGCTCCAGTTAACTAGCAAAAAGTCAGAAATGGATGTGGCTCAAATGGTGCATCATCCTTGAGAGGAAAAAGCCAAATGAGAGCACAAGGCTGCAAGTCCAAACCCCCCCCCCCACACACACACAATGAGCACAAAGCTCTTAAATCTAGGACTTTGGATTTTTAGTTTTAGTGAGAGCTTCTGAGAAGGGCACAGGATCGGCTACCTTCACTTGTATTAACATGTGAAGTATCTTTAATTTTTGCTAACTTGCCTATTGATCTTTTCTTTTTTCTTCATTTTTTTTTGTGCCAGTCCTGGGGCTTGAACTCAGGGCATGGGCACTGTCCTTGAGCTTTTTATAGCACTTTCAATATGCTAGGTAAGGTTGTAAGAGTTTTCCAAATGTTAACTCAGGAAATGTAGCCATCACAAGATAATGTTATTATACTTGCTTTACAGATGAGGAGAAAGAGACAGAGAGATAGATACAGAGAGAGACAGAAGATTATAAACGTGCCCAGGATCGCATAGCTAATTGCTGGGGAGCTGGGTTTAGGACCTCAGCATGGCAATTCTAGAGTTTACTCTCACAAATTTAGTTGTGTATAAGATTTAAGGGGTGGGGCTGGGAAGATGGCTCAGTGGTAGAGCGCTTGCCTTGCATGCCTGAGGCCCTGGGTTCGATTCCTCAGCACCACATAAGCAAAAAGAAAAAAGCCGGAAGTGGAGTTGTGGCTCAAGTGGTAGAGTACTAGCCTTGAGCTGAAGAGCTGAGGGACAGTGCCCAGGCCCAGAGTTCAGGCCCCACGACTGGACCCCCAAAAAAAAAAGATTTAAGGGGTGGTAAAGTGCTAGCAAAAGAGCTCATGGACAGTGCCCAGGCCACAAGTTCAAGCCCCATGACTGACCAAGAGATTTAAGAGGTAGAGAATGTGGCTTAGTGGTAGAGTGCTTGCCTTTTATGCATGAAGCCCTAGATTTGATTCCTTGTTACCACAGAAACATAAAATCAATAAAAGGAAAACTAACAACTAAAAATTATTAACAATAAAATATTTAATGATAATATGTTCATTATGAATGTGTTCATTATGAAGATATTAACATCTAATCATAATATGGAAAATATAAATAGGAATTAAATGATTAAAATGAAATTTCTAATTTTTTAGGTGGTACTGAGTTTTGAACTCAGACCTCACATTTGCTAGAAAGGTACTCTACCACTTTAGCCATGTCTCCAGATGCTAAATCTCTAGATTTAAAACAGGATAATTTATCCGAAAAATCACAGGTAGCTAAATTGGAAATAAGAAGAGAGACATATATTGTCTTATAATTGTGCAGTTCATCCCTGCTTGCATTTTCACAGGAGAATTAAACATAACAATGCTGTTTGGACAGAACTTTTTTTCTTTTTCTTTTTTATGTCAGTATTGGTCCTTGAATTCAGGACTGGGGCACCTCTTTTTAGCTTTTTTTGCTCAAGGCTGTCATCTTACCATTTAAGGCAGTCCTCCAGAACTGGTTGTTTCCGGTTAATTGGGAATAAAAGTCTCATAGATTTGTCTGCCTGGGCTGGCTTTGAACTGAGATCCTCACATCTCAGCTTCCGGAGTGGCAAGGATTACAGGTGTGAGCCACAGGAGCTCAGCACCAGGAGTTATTTTTAAAATTATGTTGCTGAGTTTTATTGTCTTATTGAAACATAGTTATAAAATCTATGAACATGGGCTAGGTGCCAGTGGCTCACACCTGTAATCCTAGCTACTCAGGAGCCTGAGATCTGGGGATTACAGGTGTGAAGCCAGCCTGGGCAGGAGACTCTTGTCTCCAATTAATAAAAAAAAAAAAAAAAAGGTGGAAGTGGTGTTGTGGCTCAAGTGATAAGGTGTTAGACTTGAACAAAAGAGTGCCGGGACAGTGCCCAAGTCCAGGGTTCAAGCCCCAGGACCAGCAAAGATAAAATAAAGTAAAATCTATAAACATATTCTCTTCATGGACTATAAAATAACCATACACTAGTTAATGTTACAATCAAGCAGTTTAAAGATCCTCCTTGCTTTGGTAAAGTAACAGGTCATTGAAGTAAAATAGATGATATTTAAAGCCAGCCTATATGGCCTCATGTTTTATAGTAAAGGCTCTGTTGCCTTGTGTACAGGTTGAGATGCTGTTGTTTAGTTCTGTGGTGTTGGTCTGAAAAAAATCTTAAGGCATTATAGCACTGGTCTACATATTAGCTCTTGGTCCAATAGCTCTATTCTTTTTGTTGGTTTTTTGTGCCAGTCCTGGGGCTTGAACTCAGGGCCTGTGCACTGTCCCTGAGCTTCTTTTGAAGCTCAAGGCTAGCATTCTACCACTGAGCCACAGTGCTACTTCTAGCCTTTTCTGTTTATGTGGTACTGAGGAATCAAACCCAGGGCTTCATGCATGCTAGGCAAGCACTGTACCACTAAAGCACATTCCCAGCTCATCTCTTCTTTATTTCTAAAACAGCTATTACAATAATCATCAAGCATCTGGTTTCTAATACTCAATAATTGGCCAGAGGTGTGGATTAATTCAGTCTATATTTAGTGCAGCCTATTTTGCAGATATAAATGAGAATAAAACTCAATTCTGGCTCTTCAAGAACTTAATAAACAAAAGAGAAACAAATATATTAGGGTCTTCTAAGGTATTTACTTGAAGTGAAAACCAAAAGGTATTTATTTCAAGTAAATGTCTTAGAATAAATCAGGATTACAAATGATAGCCTAGCCAGGTGCTGGGTGGCTCATGCCTGTAATCCTAGCTACTCAGGAGGCTGAGATCTGAGGATCCTGGTTCAAAGCCAGCTCGGGCAGGGAAGTCCATGAGACTCTTATCTCCAATAAACCACACAGAAAACAGGAAGTGGAGCTGTGGTTCAAGTGGAGCTGTGGTTCAAGTGGTAGAGTGCTCGCCTTGAGCTGAAGAGCTGAGGGACAGCGCCCAGGTCCAGAGTTCAAGCCCCACAATAAACAAAAAGAAAAAAAAAAAAAGATTTGGCTTCTTTACCTATCATAAGGTAGAAGGAGCACTAAGGCTTCAAATGGAGACGTGAGCAAATGGAAAGGAACCATGGAAAAGAGAACTGGGTTGTCTCTTCCTGGCCTTTGGCTAGTGATCTCTCCATATGGAGCTGAAGGAATTGCTTGCTCCAAGAGTCCAGGGGTGAAGCTACAAGGTCACAATGCCTGAGTGCTTTCATGTGGATCTGTTGTTAGACTGCTCCTGGCCCTCTCAACTGCCCTGTATAAATATATTGCCATGCACAAATAGCACACATACATAATCAGTAAAGATAAACATTAACTTTGGAGGGCGACATCCACAGCTAGTAGGGAGTGGGTAGAAGTGTGTGTGTGTGTGTGTGTGCGCGCGCGCGCGCGCGTGTGTGGGTGGATCTTTGAGCTTTTGTTACTTTTTTTTTCCATCGTGAGAATATTGGTGTATTGGATTAAAAGTAAATTAAATTTGCAATCGGGTTGCAAAATAAAATAAGAGTACTGCAAAAAACTGTGAGCAATCCAAGTCCGGGCCCTCTGATGCCTGGCTGAAGTTTAATAATTGCTCCTCATTTCCAGGCACATAATCCGGGGTTTAAAAAGTTCAACAAGTGCAAAGGAACAGCGAAGACCTTCCGATATACTGGATTTGCTCCGGAATGTTCTCAGACCCAGGGTGCTTTCTTCCGAGCAGCCTCGATGCTCAACCGCCCAGCACAGTCCGCAGTGCCCTCTAGGTCCAGCCTCTCTCCGCCTTCAGCGGCCCTCTCCTCCCGAGCTGTGGCCCTTCCTGGGCCCGCGTCCCAGCCCCGCCCCTCTCTCCGGACGCATCTCTGGGCCCCATCATCACCCGGCGCCGGGCCCTCCCTCCTGCCCCCCCTTCTCCTCCCTCCTTCGTTCCCTCCCTTCCTCCCTCCCTCCCTCCCTCCCTCTCTCCCTCCCTCTCTCCCTCTCTCCCTCCCTCCCAGCTCCTGCACCAGGAAACGGCCGGATCCCGGCAGCGGCCTGACCCGTGAGATCCCTAAACCTGGCCGGCGGGCGGGGTTGGAGACCAGCTGAGGGTGGGGGTAAGGGAGGAGCTGGGCCTTGGGGCCGCACTGGTGGGGGGGGGTGGGGGGAGGGGGAGCCGGGAGTAGAGAAGGTGCCGGCCGGAAGCCCTTGGCCCTGGGTTTCCCGGGAGGACAGTCATTAAACATGGATTCGGCCACACAGCTGGTAGAACGTTGGGGGCAGGGGCCCAGTCCCAGGAGTTCCCAGCCCTTCCCAGGCCAGATCTCGAGCCCGGCCTTCTCCACCGAGTTCTGATCTCTCCTTCCTCTTACCAGGGCTCCACGCTGGCCAGGAGGATGAAAGGCCCCAGCTGGGGGCTCCTTGCCACCAGCGCTGGGTCCTAAGAGCTGCCATCCAGGCTGGGTGAGTGTCCTCTTTATGTCTGTGTCCCGTGCAACCCTTGGCTTCTCCCACCTTTCTCTTCAGCTCCTGTCTCCTCCCCATCTTGTGCTTCTGCCAACATCTTTCTTTCTTCTGGGGAGGCCCTAAGTCCCTTCCTGGAGCCAAAACAGGGTGCACTGGGGCCGGGGAAAAGGGAGCTGGTATTATGAAAGGAATCTTAAAATATCCTAAAAATAAAATTCCCTCTATTTACATTTAATTTGGTAGATAACAAAGTTAGTGCCCCCTCTCCCCCTTCCGGACCTACACACGACTTTAATCCTTTTCCTTGCTGGTCCTTGCCCAGTGAATGGTCTCTATGAATTCCCTTTCCTATCTCTTTGGGTTGGTCAAACCAGAAATAAATATCACTTCTGGGTCTCTGCCCAGAGTTTCCATGTATTCATGCCAGTCTTCATCTTTGCCCCTTTCAGCTGCCCGGATGGCGACCCCAGCCTCAGCCCCAGACACACGGGCTCTGGTGGCTGACTTTGTAGGCTATAAACTGAGGCAGAAGGGTTATGTCTGTGGAGCGGGCCCTGGGGAGGGCCCAGCAGCTGACCCACTGCATCAAGCCATGCGGGCAGCTGGAGATGAATTTGAGACCCGCTTCCGGCGCACCTTCTCTGATCTGGCAGCTCAGCTGCATGTGACCCCAGGCTCAGCCCAGCAACGCTTCACCCAGGTCTCTGATGAACTTTTCCAAGGAGGCCCCAACTGGGGCCGTCTTGTGGCCTTCTTTGTCTTTGGGGCTGCCCTGTGTGCGGAGAGTGTCAACAAAGAAATGGAACCACTGGTGGGACAAGTGCAGGAGTGGATGGTGGCCTACCTGGAGACACGCCTGGCTGACTGGATCCACAGCAGTGGGGGCTGGGTAAGAAGCTTCTCCATTGCTGCTCTGAACATCTCTCTGCAAAGCTGGTCTCCAGGGGGAGAACGGGGGTTCTGATTGGAAGCTGGGGCAGCTGTGCTGGGAAGGAGGCATGGGGGCTTGAGCGCCCTATTTAGGTGGCATCAGACTGGGAGGCCCTGTGCTGCCACACAGTAATCACTGGATTACTCATGGTCCCAAGCAGCGGACCAAATACACAGTATTATACACAGTACCCACTGAATGCCTACACAGAAAAGGTGTTATACCTTGCTACGTGGCATGGGTGGTGGGAAGGGCTATGGAGGGGGTGGTGGTGCTTAGTCTCAGCAAAGGATAGTAGTTCTGAGCTGAATTATTTTTTGCTAAGGATGGGGGGGGGGTTTCACTTGAGGCAGTAAGTGCAAATAGGCCAGGCACCCTGGGAAGATGGGATGTTACTGGGGGGGATCAGAGCTTTGGCTGAAGATGAGCAGGGTGTGGGATAGTGCTCACAGTGGATGGAACTGGAACTCTTCCTCTCCTCTTCTCTCCACATTTTCCTCTCCTGATATCCCTTTCTCCTTCTTTCTCTTCTACTTCCCTTCTCTCCCACAGGCGGAGTTCACAGCTCTATACGGGGACGGGGCCCTGGAGGAGGCGCGGCGTCTGCGGGAGGGGAACTGGGCATCAGTGAGGACAGTGCTGACGGGGGCCGTGGCACTGGGGGCCCTGGTAACTGTAGGGGCCTTTTTTGCTAGCAAGTGAGAGAAAGTCTGGGGCCAAGTGTGGCTAGGTGTGGCTGGGGAGGGAGGGGGGCAGGAGAGCAGAGACAGAACAAAGAATGCCTTTGGAACAAGTGGGGTGGATGAATGGTCATGGAGCAGGGAAGGGCAGGGAGAAGGAAGGTCATGTGTGAGGGAGCTGAGCAAGCCAGGCAGGTGGCTGGAAGAATGAGCAGGAGATATTGGGGAATGTTTTAAGAAGGTGAGGGTCTAGGAGACAGAACCATTCCAAGATTTGGGAGGGAGAAAGGGGGAATGATCAATAGGGTGCTTTATAGGATGGGCACATGAAACCACTTGGAACTTGCTTCACAACTCCGAGGAATTGTGCCTCCATTGGCTGAGTGGGATTTGGGACCCCAGAAGGTGCATCCCTTTGGAATGGAAGCTTGGTGATCAGGTGATTGGAAGAGGTGGCCATGGCTGAGGGCTGCTTGGACACGTGTGCATGTGCACGTGTGCTCCTGTGCATGCTGGGCTGTTTGTCTAATCTGGTGATGGTAGGATTCTTCAAAGAGAAAACATTCCCTCTTGCAATGGCAAGAACAAGAAGGGATAGTTCTTTGCCCTTCCTCTCCCCACGCTTCCCAGCCTTGTTCCCAGGCCTCAAGGTTGAGGGAGAAACACTGTATCCAGACCGAGGACTCTGGCACCTCTCTGCAGAAAATCATTGGCAGGGCTTTGGAGAGAAAAGCTGTTCTGCAACTGGCCTTGTTCCTTCATCATCCCCTCTGTGTGCATCTTGCACTTGCTGCTGCCTCCTGGGCTGATTGAAGGCAGGGCTGTGGAGCCTGGGTGGGTGGAGGCTTTGGTAGCTGGACCTGCCTGCCACCCTTCCCTCCCACTGGGGCACAATGGTGCCTAAAATGTTGCCTATTTGGGAGACCTCTGCACCTACACTTAAACTCTAAATTGGGGCTCTAAGTTTTCCTTTTGAGGGTGTTAAGCTCAAAACTCTACATTGGGGCTCTAATTTTCCTTTCACGGGTATGGGCATAAATGCTGATCTAGAATACAGTCTGGGTCCTGCATTGTCTCAGTGAGATTGGTGATGCCTTGAGAGGAACTTTCCAGCTCTGAGCCCCATGGGTGTGATGGTGACAGGTATTCCATTACTGGCCTATTCTTTGTGGTGGGCTTTGGTGCTGCTTTATCAGGGGCCAGGTGTATGGGTTCTAGAATACCTAGAAGCATTTTTATATTTCCTTTGAAGCCACCTTGTTTGCATTTATATTATTTGTCTCTACTTCAGAGTCTGAGGACACTAACTTTAGAACTTAACAGTCCTCTAGAACAAATCCAGATTATAGCTTTTTCTTTTGAGGGAGAAATTCACTCCAAATGCAGGCCCTGAGCCAGACCTCAATGCTGCACTTGTCAAGGTGCTCAAATTGCTGCTCTCCAATGCTGATTTCCTTCACAGTGCTCTAGAACCCTGCCCATGGTCCTGAGCACTGATCAGCTTAGCCAGACCACGGTTGACTTCTTGGGGATTTTTCCCTTGGTCCTAGAATGTGGCATCCTAGTCGTGCTTGCTAGAATGTGGGACCAAATTGGCCTCAGGTGTTTAGTCCAGACCTTTGCTTTTGAGAGAGGGCTGCACTTTTTAACGGTATTTATGGGGGAGGTGGTTAGACTGCATGAGCCACTTGGTCTGATATTGAGTATGCTGAACCATAAACTCAGAGCCGGTCTGTGGCAAGCAGTTGGGGTGGGGGAAAATCTCTGACTTGCTCAGGACAAACTAGGCCAGTGGTTTTCAAACTGCTTGGCAAAGCCCCTAAGTATCCTAGGGGTTGCGCCTCAGGAGTCCTTGGGGAGGTAAAGGGGTGGGGGGCGGGGAGGTGAGCAGACTGGGCAACTCGCCCTTAAAAAGAACAGCTCCCCTTGTAGCTGTGTTACCTATCGGGGTTCAGGGTAAGATTTTATTTGCATTAAGGGGTTTGCCGCTGAAAGACATTGGAAAACCACTGAGTAGGCCATCAGCTCCCCCAGGTCCAGAGCAGATGCTTCTCCCAACCCTCCACCACAGGACACCAATCCAGTTAGCATTCCTGGGGGCCTTCAGACGTGAGGAGAAGCAGGGACCAGGGTGAAGTTACTGAAATGTCCTGTTTTGAGGCCTTCACACCTGGGTGGAAGAAGAGGCTATTTTCTGAAAGGGGAAAGGGCTTGGTCTGTATTCCAAGAAGCGTAGCTTAGATGGGACCACAGTGGGCAGTTTTGACCTGTTCTGCCCTTAATTTGAGGGGCAATGGAAACCCCAGAGACTCTTCTGTCAGGGAAAACTAGAGACTCTCTTTCAGAGCCATATAGTTTCTTGGGATTAGCTCTTGGCCAAGAAGGCTGAGTATGGCTCCCAATTTTTAAATCCATTTCATTTTTATTAAATGAGGGAAATAAATATAATTACCATTTTTAAAGATTACATAGATGGAGAGGATGTTTCTTGCTCTCCAGAGCCCAAAGGGACAAATAGAGACTTTGCTTAGGCCAAGGAAGGAGCGGAAGTAGGGCAACTCAGTCCTGCAATTATTAATCCCACTCCCCACTTATTCTAGGGCATACATACACTATTTTACTTTTTTAAATCATAAACGGCAGGAGAAGAGATTTGGTTAGTTTAGAAGAAAAGAAAAGCTCTATAAATATAAATATATATTCCTGTATTTTTATTTAATAATTTATAAATACCAAGTTCATTTGACTTTTATTTTTGTGTAATATGTAATGGTGATATTAAAAAAAATAAATAAAGCCCAGAAATTTAATGAGAAGGACTGCACAGGGTTTTGTGACTTCTATATGCTTTAGCCTGGGGCTAGAACTTTGCTTAATACAATCAACTCCTCCTGATCTTGCTGAGCAACAATTAAAAGTTATAGGGATTCGGGAAAGTGTTGAGATTTAAAAAACAATATTCTACTATCCTCCTCCCCTGGTTGAAATCCCAGAGCCCAAAACTCCATCTATCCTGACCTAAACCCCAAGATAGGTAGATGTGTGGTAAACCCCAAGACAGGTAGATGTGTGATACTTTGAGATGGACACAAACAACTATGAAACAAAGGAAACTTATCAAAAATATTTGCAGATCCCAGTTGGAATCCAGCCTTTTGTTGGAAGTGTGTGGTGATCAGCAGTTCCCTCCTCCCCGCCAATCTGGCAAAAAATGGGAGCCCCTGCTTCCTTGCTGTAGTTTTGGCCATTTTAATGAAAACTGCTGAAATTTGTGGAAGCTACAGGATTATTCAGTTCATCTCCTGTACCTTTAGTCTAGGATCACAAAGTCATGTCTGAGCAGGTCACTGGTGGCACACTCCTATAATCCTAGCTACATAGGAAGATTGCAGTTAGAAACCACCCTGGGGGGCTGGGAAAGTGGCTCAGTGGTAGAGCGCTTGCCTTGCATGCTCAAGGCCCTGGGTTCGATTCCTCAGCACCACATAAGCAAAAAGAAAAAAGCCAGAAGTGGCGCTGTGGCTCAAGTGATAGGTCGCTAGCCTTGAGCTGAAGAGCTGAGGGACAGCGCCCAGGCCCAGAGTTCAGGCCCCATGACCGGACCCAAAAAAAAAAAAAAAAAAAAAAGAAAGAAACTACCCTGGGTAGAAAAGTCTATGGAAAATCCGGGTGCTGGTGGCTCATACTTGTAGTCCTAGCTACTAAGGAGGCTGAGATCTGAGGATTGCAGTTCAAAGCCAGCATGGGCAGGAAAGTCCTTGAGACTCTCTCTACACTAGACTCTTTCTACACTAGAAAACAGGAAGCGGTGCTGTGGCTCAAGTGGTAGAGTGCTAGCCTTGAGCTGAAGAGCTGAGGGACAGCACCCAGGCCCAGAGTTCAAGACACATGACCGATAAAAAAAAGTCCATGAGATTCTTATTTTCAGTTAACCAGCAAAAAGTTGGATTGGGCTCAAATGATAGAGTTCCAGTCTTGATGGAGGAAAAAAAAAGCTAAATGAGAGCATGAGGCCCTGAGTTCAAGCTCCAGTATTGACACCAAAAGAAAAAACAAAACAAAACACATAACTTCACAAGATTAATGATAATAATAATAATGGGAAATACTGATCTTTTAATAATTAAATTGGCCTTTGGGTTTTTGTGTTGTGAGGAATGTAATTTCTTAGAGGAGCTCATGTTGCTTTTCCATTCTTTTTTCTATAGAAATATCTACAGTGGGGCTGGGGATGTGCCTTAGCTAGCATGCATGAAACCCTGGGATCGATTCCTCAGTACCACATACACAGAAAAAGCTGGAAATGGCACTGTGGTTAAAGTGGTAGAGTGCTAGCCTTGAGCAAAAGCAGCTCAGGGACCAAGCCACAAGACTGGCCAAAAATTTTTTTAAAAAAATAAATCTATTAGTGGAAACTATAGCAAAACCTGAGTGACTTGATGAACCTGGCACTAGGAGGAAGAGAATTAGATATATTTAGTGGTGAATACTGTCTGGTTTGATAGCTAATGCATTTGTTTCTACTGCAGTGTACTTAATCAAATATTTGGATTATATTTGCCTAGTTCCAAAAAGCTCTTGAAGCATCTTACTATAATACACAAAAGAAAAAAAGCAATGAGAAGATACATGTTTTTAAAGTAGGGATAAAGAGTAGATTGAAATATAGCAAGATAAAGCAAAAATTAATACACAGAAAAGCATTCTTAGAGTTGAGTATAGTGGTACATGCCTGTAATCCTAGAACTAGGGAAGCTGAGGTAGGAGGATCTTACATTCAAGATCCAGCTTTTTAAAAAGATGAGACCATCTTTTTTAAAAAAAAATTATCCTAGGGGCTGGGAAGGTGGCTCAGTGGTAGAGCGCTTGCCTTGCATGCCAGAGGCCCTGGGTTTGATTCCTCAGCACCACATAAGCAAAAAGAAAAAAGCTGGAAGTGGCGCTGTGGCTCAAGTGGTAGAGTGCTAGCCTTGAGCTGAAGAGCTGAGGGACAGTGCCCAGGCCCAGAGTTCAGGCCCCATGACTGGACCCCCCCCAAAAAAATTATCCTATAAATACATGAATTCAGATCTCACCATCTTGGCAATTGGAAAACAATGAGATTCATAGTCCTCATAGTGATGAAAGCCTCTCAAAGGAGGGCAACAAGTTTTGTGGTTTTTCTGAGACAACACTTAATATAGTAGACACCATTCTCTAACACCACCTAACACTAAATATGATATTGAGTTTTATCTATATAACTGTTTTCTCTAGAAATACTAACTGGGGAGTCTGAGAGTCAAGTTTGTTCTGTCAGGCTTATCATAATTTAACTCAAATATGCTTTTTAATGGTCTGATTTAGAATATGGCTAAATTTTAGACTATCCAGAGGGATGGATGTATGGTTTCATTTAGACAGTTCTCTATAAAAGCCATTTCTCCAAACAGCACTTTTGATCAAATCAGGCAACATTTATGGTTTCTGGTAAATGAGTAGATTGTAGATAATTTTTTTTTTTTTACTTAATAGCAGATTCTTTGAAAACTTAAACATACTGGAACCAGGAGTCCATGGCTCATGCCTGTAATCTTAGCTATGCAGGAAGCTGAGGTCTGAGAATCCTGATTTAAAATCTGAAAGACTCTTTTATTTTCAATTAACTAGCAAAAGCCAAAAGTGGTGATACAGCTCAAATGGTAGAGCTCCAGCCTTGAACAAAACAGATGAGTGAGAGCACAAGCTCATGAAACAAAGCAAAACAACATAATATACTGAGGTGTGTTTCATTTATCATTAATTTCTAGAGCAACTATCTAAGTGTCTTCTGTGTGCTAAGCACAGTTCCAGGCACTGAGGTGAAGGGAGCAGACAAAGACCTGTGCCTGTACATTCCTTCCATTTTACTGACCAAAGTGAAGAAATTTCATGTTAGACTAGAAACAGAAACACTTGACTGGAGGAGGATGGAAATAATTTTTAATTTTTTTCTTCCTTTTTTTGCCAGTCCTGGGGCTTGAACTCGGGACCTGAGCACTGTCCCTGAGCTTTTTTGTTGTTGTTTTTTGTCGCTCATGGGGCTCGAACTTTAGGCTTGCAAGCTGTCTCTGAGCTCTTCAGCTCAAGGTGAGCAGTTTACCACTTGAGCCACAGTTCCATTTCTGGTTTTCTGGTGGTTTATTGTAGATAAGACACTCAAGGACTTTCCTTCCTGGGCTGGCTTTGAACTTTGATCCTCAGGTCTCAGCCTCCTTAGTAGCTAGGATTACAGGCGTGAGCCACCAGTGCCCAGCTTCCCTGAGCTTCTTTTGCTCAAGACTAACACTCTACCACTTGAGCCCACAGAGCTACTTCCAGCTTTTTCTATATATGTGCTGAGGAATCCAACCCAGAGCTTCATGCATACTAGGCAAGCACTCTACCACTAAGCTACATTCCCAACCTAGATTTAATATTTTTAAGTTAATTTACTTCATTGTTGTTATAAAGGTGATATACAGAGGGAGATTACAATTACATGAGTTAGGTAATGAATGCATTTCCTTTCGTATGGTGTCTTCTGTTCTCTCATTCTCTCCCAGTCTCTTCCTCCTGTTTCCACCCACCAGTTGTAGAGCTTACTTTCATCATTGTCCAGTGAGCTCAACTACTGCACTCTTTCCCCTTGAGTTCTGTACCCTTCCCCCACCCTAGTAGATTTAAATTTTAAATTGAATGTTCAGAGAAGTGCTCAACGTTACTTTGAGTAAAACCATGAAAAATAAAGTTGGAAAGACATATATAAGTGTTTACGGACAAGGAAAGATGCTTTTATACTTACGGAGTAAAAAAAGTAATATTAGTGAGAAAACATGTATAGTACGATCTTACCTGGCTAAAACACATGTGTGCTCTCTGTATATTAAATTTTTGGGTTTTCTTGTGTGTGAATACCAGAGCTTAAACTCAGGGCCTCGTGCTCTTGCTTTTCCACTCCCAGCTAGTTGAGCCATACTTCTAGTAACAACTTTTTGTTTTGTTTTGTTTTTAATTAACTTACATTAGTCATAGGGGAGGGATTCCAGTCCATACCTTATCTTGAGAGTCCCCACCCACCTACAGAGTCTATATTTCTTCTTCCCCATTCCTGTTACTGATCAATAGCTTTTCTTTAAATATGCCCTCATATATACTTACAATGTGTTAATCAGCCTCTTTTTTCCCCTCCCCTTCTTCTGAATTTGATTTATGCTCTATGTTTAGCCATATAAATTATATATATATGTGTATATGTATATATAGGTATACACACATATACACATACATATAAGTAGAACATAGGACTTTTTTTGTTGCTATGTTGTTGGTTATAGGGCTTGAACTTTGGGCCTGGGGACTGTCCCTGAGCTCATAAGCAATTAGAGTCTCACAGACTTTCCTGCCCTGGCTTGCTTTGTATCTTTGATCCTCAGATCTTAGCCTCCTGAGTAACTAGGATTATAGGTATGAACCACCGGTGCCAGCTAATTGTTGTTTTGAACTTGGCTTGTCTCCCTTAGTATGATGTCCTCTAGTTGTATGCATTCATTTTCCTGCAAATGACATGATTTTGGTTTTGTAGCTAGCTAGTGCTCTACCACTTGAGTCATGCCTCAAGTAACTTTTTTTTTCTCCTGGCTAAATGGAGATATGAGTCTCTTGGGGTTGTCTTCCCAGGCTGGATTCAAACTTAAATCTTTAGATCCAAGCCACATGAATAACTAGGATTATAGATATGATAGATATGAGCTACCCAGTGCCCATCTGTATATTCAGAATGTAAGAAGGGGCCGAGGATATTTTTGTCAAGGTCTTA